AATTTTTTGTTAGAAATTTATCAAAACCCTAAATAGAAATTGAATCATCCCTAAAATTATTTGCCATCTTATGCGAAACACCCTGTATATATATGTACGTATAAGGTTTGTTTACTATTAATATTAATGTTAATTATTATTAATAATTAATATTAATGCTAAAAGCATTAAACAATAAAAAAGATATGGATTTATGTATTGTGAAAATGATAAGTAATTCTTTTGATTTTATTGGGGAAAATTTGCTATCAATTATAAATGAATCTCTACGTTCGGGAATTTTTCCCGATTGTTTAAAAGAATCTATGGTGGTGCCTATTCAGAAGGTAAAGAATACCAAACTTTGCAATGAATTCCGTCCAATCAACATGATTTCAATATTATCTAAAATTGTTGAAAAGGTTGTATTTAACCAATTGGAGGAGTACTTCGAAAAACGTTATCTCATTTCTCAACATCAGTCTGGACTTAGAAAACGCCACAGTTGTGAATCTTTGATTAATCTCGTAGTAACAAACTGGAAAGTTGCGATTGACGACAATAAGCATGTAGTAGCAGTTTTTTTAGACTTACGACGTGCGTTTGAAACAGTTGACCGTTATAGTTTAATTTCAAGTTGAAAAAATATGGCATTGATCGTATTGAATTAAAGTGGTTCCAATCTTATTTAAAAGACAGAAAGCAAAGGACAAAAGTTGATGGAGAAATATCTGATCCCATAGAAGTTTCTTTAGGAGTTCCTCAAGGCACTATTCTGGGCGTTTTATTGTTTTTAATATACATATATAAACGATATGGAGAAGGTAACAAGAACGGGAAATTTGGCGTTATTTGCAGATGATGCATTAATATATGTTGTGGGTAAGAATATTGATGAAAGTATACATATATAAAATTAATGATGATTTGGAACAATTAAACAAGTGGTTTGTAATTAATAAGCTTAAGTTAAATTTTGAAAAAAACTAAATGTATGGAAATTAACGGTGTATTAAATAATGAGATAAAAATTAATTCAACAGATATTGATGTTGTTAATGAGATTAAATATTTAGGGGTAGTTATAGATAGTAAGTTATGCTTTAAACCACATTTAGATTTTATTTGTAAAAAATTAGTAAAAAGTTAGGATTTTTTTCAAAAATAAGTTTTTAATGTAATGTTGAAACATCATTTTGAATTCTGTTCATCAATACTTTTTACGTTTAATGCTGAAATTATGGGGAGGTTGCAAAAGCTTCAAAATCGAGGTATGAGAATAATATTAAAATTACCAAAACATTTATCTTGGAAACTTTGAAATGGATGAGTGTGTCCCAGCGGGTTAAAATGAATGTATTAATGACGGTGTTCAAAATAAAAAATAAAATGATGCCAAGTTATTTAACTAATAGATTAATTTATGTTGAAAATGCACAAAATTATAACTTAAGAAGTTTCTTGGATTTTATATTAAATTTTTATAGAAAAACCAAAACGCAAAATATGTTGATAAGGGCTTAAAATTTTTTTTACGAATTACCTACAAATTTAAAGTATGAGAATAATTTTAAAATGTTTAAAAGAAACTTAATTCGACACATATTAGAAAACTTTGCTCTTTAATGAATATGTATATGTATACATATATGTATATAGTAAAAACAATTTTTGTAAATATGAAAATTTAATGTGATAATGTAAATACCTTAGTATTAATTGTAAATAGTTATTCTTATACTAAATTAAGAAATTAATAAAAATAAATAAAAATAAAAAATAAATGAAATTAATATTATTAAGCGAAAAACAAAATAAATATTCATCTGAGTTGAACAACACAAAAACCACCAAATATCGCAGTTCGGAATATATACATTCGTTTAATTGCAGATTTGGTTTCGGAATAATAAATTTTGAAAATTACAATATTCCCAATTTAATCATATTTCATTAGTTTGTTCAACAAAAGAAAATGCTGTTTTTAAAAACAATCTACGTATACTAGACTATTAAAATTATTTTCTTTCATATACGAAACTATTTCTATGATTGCATATATTTAGGATAAACGATTTATGCAGTCTTTGAAATAAAGCAAAAATAAGTTTAAAGAGGCATCAAAAATTTAAATTTTACAAATTTCAAGAGGCGATAACTTTTAGAGGAGGGAGATAGATAAAAATTATGTTCTACAAAAAAATTAGTTTCTAGTAAAGATCTATGTACATATCAAATTTCAGGTTTCTATCTTCAAGCGTGTAGAAGTTTTGTAAACAGACACACGGGCAGACGGACGGATGGATGGACGGTCGGTCGGATGGACGGACGGACGGACAGACGGACTGACAGACGGATGGACGGGTGAACGGACGGATAGAAGAGTGGACGGACGGACAGAGTGAAACTAATAAGCACTTTTTTCAAAAATTTTTTGGAAAAGTGCAAAAAATACCTATTAAATCAAAAATTTATTTCAAATTTTCAAAGAAACTAAAAAATGTAAATTTGCTACAAATATTAAATTTCAAATAGCTAACATAGACGGGAAACTCTAACATTAAATGTATGATAAAATATATACATAATGGCTGTTTTTTATCACAAATCAAACTGAAATATTGATTGATGGTGCTCCTCAGACTTAATGACTTAAAAATTTAATAGTAATTTTGCTATAATGAAAATTATAAACCAAAAAATAAGAATTAATTGGTTTCTGTGTTCTGTTCTAAACATCCACAAAAAAATAATAATTATTTCCATTTTACTTTACAAAAAATTTTTGCAATAAATCTTGTCTGATGAGAATAATGAGTCTGATATCAAATAAGGTTTATATATACGACTTTCATAAGACTCCAAATTTATTCCAAAAAATTATTCAATATATTTCCAATATAGCAAAATAATTTGGATTGTAATTGAAATTTAAGCGCTTACCTACATACATAACGTAATATATTTGGATTGGTAGGTCCTTTTACCTACATATTATCTGCATTGTTTTTGAACAGGCTTCATTAAATATTATATTGGATAAATTTATGTTTTATTTAATAAATCTAATTTTCCTTTCAAAATTTGAAACAACAGTTTGCTTGGCAAGAGATTTTGACGAGGAAAAAGCAATGGTGGCAACATTTTTGAAATTTTTAACAGCAAACAGCTGATTTTTGATTGCGATTTTTCTTTTATAATCTTTTTAAATATTGATTTTTTAATTCTGTTTTAACAACAAACTTAAATAAAATTGAAAATAAAACTTCGCTATTTTAATTGTATAATTACAAATCGGATTAAATTTGATAAATAACTAAAACTACTGTACGTCATAACATCTGGTGTATAGTTATTAAATAAAATCTAACTCTGGAATCATCAAATATTTAAATTACCAAGAACAAACAAAAATATCTTTATTTAGAGTTTTTATTGTACCAAAAAAAGACCAACCAAGCCCAACATACAATAATATTTATAAATGAGCACGCTACTATATAATTTTCAAAAACTTCAAATTTTTTTTTGGTGTTTATTTTGGAAAAAGCTCTCACCGTGTCTCTTTCTTTTAAAATGAAATGAAGCTTTCCGAACACATATTAAATTAATTCCGAATATCAGCAATAGCAAAAATAGTAGTACTTGTTTTTCAAATTCAGCACGAATGAGGTCACAGTTTAGTGTAGGTACACATAAAAAATATTACACGCTTTTCTTATAAATATTTAAATTTGTTAATTTTAAATGGTTAGAATTATGGTAATTCTTCGGTTTTTTTTTTTTTTGGAAAATTAAAAGAGGAAACAAATTTTGTCCTTTTTTTGGACAAGATTTACAACATATTTTCCCGCGTACTAGCAATTTTGCCTGTTTGTATTTATAAATTAGTTTTTTTTTATTGAGGTAGAGTGGTAGGTACCTATCACCTTACCATCCCTACATACATTATATACAATTGGTAATCAATATTTCTTTCTGTATACACACGTTAAAAAGATTAATAAAGAAAATAGGTAAAAAAACTTTTAGGCAATTTTTTTCTACTTTTTTTTTATATAAATTTAAAATTGGCTTCACTAGTTCAATTAGTGTAATACCTATACCTTTTTGTACATACTTTTATAGTATTATAACAATCCTCACTCTGCAGATAAACTGCAAATATGAATCAAACCACAAAATTGACTACCAAACTCGACATACAAATAATAAACATTTAGCAAATATTTTTGTATAACACAAGGATGCCTTTATTCTGGCAATGTCCTGTGCATGTATTCATGTATTTATATATATATATATATATGTATAAATTGAAATCGAAATTATATAGCTCTTAATTACTTTAAATATAATGTATAGGTTTTAACAACATAATTTGTTTTTTTTTTGCAAAGCTTCTTAAAATTATAAATTTGCTGGTTAAAATTTTATCATTGCTGCGGGGACGATACAAATAAAAAAAAACCGAAAATCATTAAAAATAAAGTAAAAAGGACTTTTTTTTTAATAATGGATTCTTAAATGGTTTTCAGTCAATTCTTTATTTTACACACAAATTATTCCTGATAGAGCATTTCTAAAGCGTTTTGTTTACAAAGAACTAACTAAAATATTTTTTTCATTCCTTCTTTAAGGACTTGGAACTAATTATAATTGGTGATCTTTTTAATAATTTTTCTTCAATTTTTCTTTATAAACATACTATAGGCAATTATATGTACATAATATGCTCATACGCATTTACAAAAATACAATGTTTTCCATATTTAAATTTACAATATTTTACCCTACTAAATTTTATTTCACTTTAAATTTTAATTTTTACATTACAATTTCCAGTCATCACACAAATTTTTTTTTTATTTTGTCGCAATTCACATATACATACATCACATCATAAATTTTGCGTGTACATAAATATTAAAGGACGACCAAGAAAAATATTAAATAACAGACACTTAATTACAAAAAAAAAAAAAAAAAGAAAATAATGGAAAAAATAAAAACCACCTAACCTGAACTACACCAAGTAACAGTTGAAATAAGACTGAAAATTAATGAAAAAGTATTATACAGATAGACATATAACCAATGCTGTCGTAAATGTGCCAATTGCAGTAGATTTTTATAGGATTTGAGAAACATTAACTGCATTAATACTGCCTTAATAGATTTGCTGCAATTAAAAAAAACAAACGTTGGCTTTCATGTGTAAACTCTTAAAAGATATTTTGGCAAACATCTAGATAATAGGTTGAACATTCCATTCAATTCATTTATGTTTCTCAGCAACTTCAAAACTTTTGACATCAAATCTTGAAAATTCGCAAGGAATTTTAATATCATTTTCATTTCTCACAATTCAAAATAAAATGTTTAAATAACCTTAACTATAAGAACACTTTAATATAAATGAAAATGGTTCAATGAGGAAGTGCTCCCAAAATTGAATAATTTCGTATAAAACTTATTAAGCTCCATCCCATAGTGGTGCAACATTTGTACGGTTTTTTTCCAAAAATTAATTACAACGAAAAAAGAAATTGTTTACATTCGAACTTGTAATTTGGCTGATAAATGGACTCAATCAAAAACCCTTATTCATTCTTACAAAAAATTATTTAAATTTTATGTTATCTTAAATGCAATATTGCAAATATATAATAATTCATATAAATGTCAGGAAACGCGTTAATTACATAAGAGGGATGAAAACTTTTAATTGAAGGAAAAATTTTTCTTTCATGCAATTGGGATAACTTAGCTGCAACTCAAGAGACTCATTTACTGCAGCTTAGAAAATAGAAACGACAACACTGTATATAATATTTTGGTGAAATATGAAATAAACGATATCGTTTGGGCTCCGAACGTAGCTTTTTGCTCCATTTTGTTTACTTCGCTGCTCCACTACTCGACAAAGTTCCCATCCAAGTATATCTACACAAGAAGTAGTTCGACTTTCCGTTTACATCACACTAATGCAATCACTCACCAATATTTGTATGTGTTTTTTAAAGCGGGAGTTATTTATTTTTCCGTATATAAAGTATAAGAAAAAATATTAAAAATTTTAAAAGCGGGAGCTTCATTTCTGCAACTTATTTCACTACAAGGTGGCAGAAATGGTGTATCCGTATAATAAAAGCGAAGCAATTTAAAAACAAAATTTTACTATTAAAAAAAAAATTATAATTTATATCTATGTATATAATTTGAAAAAGACAAATATTAAAACAAAAATTTAAAATTTGTAATTAGTAATTCTCATTTCATTCGTTGTATGTATATACAATAAATGTAATGAGAATCACTATTTTAAAAAAAATTATTAATTTCATATATAAACTATGAATTTTTTATTTCAATTTTGTCTTTAAAAATTTAAAACAAATATTTCTTATGAATATACATACATACACACGTATCGTTAATAGGCATTTTTTTTATAAATTGCTTAATTTCTATGCCTCGTCTACATTGCGGCTTGACGTGAAATCAGCTCGAAACTTAAGCTGCGTTTTAACTATGGTAGGTTAAGCTTTTAAAAGCTCGAAAACGGTGTTTCGAGCTGTAAAATTTCAAATCAATATTAAGATTTCAAGTCAAGTAAACAACTTGAGTATAGCCGGCTTCAGGCCAAATAACTTTTATATAGACAATAATAAGCTTGAAGCAGCCATATAATCGGGGTACATACATATTATTAGGGGGTTTTCGTTTATGCAGGCTACGCTGAAAGTCCTACATTAGAGCTAAAATTTCTAAGTTGCAGGGTTAAACAGTATGCAAAAACTTTAACTAAGCTTTTTTTGTTTACGAACTCTACAAATTCTGAAACTTCTAAACAATCTATCGTTCGAAAATAACATAAATCTCATTGTTTATGAAATTATATCCCAATACTTTTCGCCTTCCAATTCACTGCAAAATAAGGAAATTTTAACAAGATTTGACGACTTAAAGAAAACTTACTTTAACACCCTTCGATATCTTATTCTGTCATTTTAAAATTTAATTTTTTTTTTTGAATTTTAAATTAAAAAAGAAAAAAAAAATCATACTAGAGGTTATTGCAGCCACTAATTTCCGAACGATCTATATTTTTAGTGTGTGTAGCGTGAATTTGCGAACGTACTAGAAGCTAGAAGTATTCTAGAACTGAATAAACTAAAACCCTCCTACATCATATTGTGTATCTACCTTGAATAGATATGTACCGTATAACAAAATATGAAATTTTAAATTTATAACTATTACTTTCATACATTCGAATGTTCTTACCTAACTTTTATGAAATGAAAAATAAAATATGAAAAAAACAATTTTGTTGTTATCAAAATAGAAATAACAAAATTTTTATCTAATTTAATTTTATTTCAGTTCGATGTTTTTGATACACTCGCTTGTTTACAATATTTTGTTTCTTTCTTGCCTACACAACTCTTATTACCAACTATTTCTAAAGAAAAATGGAATATTTTAAAAATTTGAAAGCAAAATGCAAACGAAAACTAACGGAATGGAACGAGTCGAACTACTTTTTGATAGATATACTTTGGGTATGACCCATGCCTTAGATGATAAACTTTTCTTTTGACACTTAAGAACACTTAAGACCGTTTTTTTTGAAACGTAAAAAAATTTAAAACAATTTCTGCAAATAAATAGCATTTGTTGTGAAGAAGAAAAAATTTAATAAATTTATTTTTGTTCCTGAACATTTTATTTCCAAATTTAAAACTTTTTTAACTTACAAATTAAATTTGCAATTTACATTTGTTGTTTAGTTTTTTCATTATTATTTTTTTTAATTTCTTTTATTAGACATTTCATGATTTTCGTTTTGCCATTTTTATTACCTTTAATTTGTCAAATATTTTATTTGATTTTTTATTTTCTGCTTTTAATTTAACTATGCAATTTTATTTAGCAAATAAATAATACATAATTACGCAATTTTGATAATTAATATACTAGTAGCCTAATCTGTGTTATCTTAAAAAAAACATAATAACTGCATTTTATTTTGATTTTTTCAATTATCGATTTCAATGCTTTTGTACAAATTTTTTTCTTTTATTACAAATTATTATAATAAAAATTTTGGGGGGTAAGGGCGGTTGCAGTAATTCCCTCGAGTGTTTTTTTTTTAATTAAAAAAAAATAAAAATTTTGACTTTGACGAGCTTTGTCTCGAAAACTATGGCCCTCTAAAAAAAAGCTCTCGATGGTTACTATATCGCATGGTTCCCAAGTTATAAATATTTATTTATATGCAGGAAAAATCTAGTACCTTTCTTTTTCAACAGGCTGTAACGAGTATATTTGAACCCCACCACCACCATATAATTTTTTACTGGAAATTACTCAAACAATCATCCCTGAAATTATGCAAAACCCCCTGTATAATGTTTAATTATTTATTCGTATATTTTCATCGATTTTACTACTGAATATAACTTTCTTTGTATTTTGTTTTCTTTAATTTTCTAATTAATTTTGTATTTTTGTTTTTGTTATTTGAACAGAAATTATTACATTTAAATTTATAATTATATTACATGAATAGTGTTATATAATAATAGCAATTAATAATACTATTAGTTTATAGAAATTGTATTTTTTAAAATTAATATAAAATGAATTTTAATTAATTAATAGGTTATAACAATAGTATAATATTTAGTCAAATTTATATTAAATTTTTAATAATATTACTTATTATATATACTATTTATTTTTATATTAATTTTATAGAAATTATTATTATTATTATTGTTAGTTTTATTATTATTATTAATTAATTAATTTATAAATAACAATTGAATAATTTGAATACATGATATGCGCAATTTAATTTATTTTTTTTTTTGAGTTTTGATTATACATATTAATATATTTAATGATACAAGTTCTTTTCCGAAAGGTTATTTTCATTTTTATAGTGCATAATGCAACATATTAATATGGTAATTTAATTTTTATTATATTATATTGAATGCTTTAAGGTTATACACCTAATTATAATATTCTCTTACTTTCAAGAATCGAATTAACAAATCTTTAAAAAAATACATATTCTTCAAATACTGAAAATCATAATGACAAGACGAAATTTTTTTGAAAAATTTAAAAGCATATTATGTAGTTGTTTCCTCTTTTTTGTGGCTGTTTTTTTTTTATGATACATTCACTTTATTGAAAGAAACATTTATAAAAATCCATTATGTAGTCAAAATTAAGTTCATTAAATTTCCGAAACTAAACATAAGTTTCCTTGCGTTAAAAAATTTATTTAGCAATTATTGTTTTTTTTTTTGAAAAATATCATAAATTTCTTCAGCTATTTTGTATACATAACACCATTTGTTTAAAATTTCGAATAAGACCCAGATATGTTCTTCATAACAACAATAAATGTATTATTATGTCAGGAAATAATTTCTATATAACGACTATGTTTAATTATACTGTATTTTTAAAACTATTTATAACAAATTATGAAATATTTAAACAAATTAATTAGAGATAAAATTTGTAGATTGATCTAACTTCTAAGTAAATTAAATTATTTAGATAAAAATATATGGTGCGATATAAAAAATTAAATTGTTTTATTTAAAACAAAAATAAAATTAACATAAAAGTCAAAGTTAATATGACCATGTCACATTTTAGTAAAACAAAAATACATAATAGGAATTTTTTCATATGTGTTTTATTTCGTTACACTATTTCAAATTCAAGATACAATTTTAACTTAACTATATGTAAACATAGATATATAATATAAAAAAAAAAACTTACAATATAAGAAAAATATATACAACGTTTTACTTTATTTTCTTGTGTTATTATTTTTAATTAATCTTTTCAAATTAAAAAAAAATTATGTAAATAATGCAATATATATATATATACATTTAAAGGATTACTAAAAGTATTCAAGATTTACATAAATTTAATGTGCCCAAAAATGGCTATTCCTTTTTTGGTAATCCTTTTCTTTCCATATTATTATTAAATAACGAATTGTATTATAAATAATACAATTTCGATTTTCAATTTTACCCTGAAAATTACCAAATCTTCCAATATTATTTCGCGATTTCAAATGATGAATCTAAAGAATACATAGGGCTTTTTCGAAAATTCATCACTGCGCTGATTTAACTAAGTTAAATAAAAAAGATTTTAAGTAGTTCTTGAACAACTGCGGTTTAAAGCTTAAATATCTGCATTCATCAAATAAAAGCTGCAAAAACTGTGATCAAATTTCTGAAAAAGCTTTCATTCACTGAATATTCAAACAACTGCGCAAAAAGTTTTGAATTGCTTAACTAAGTTAGAATATTCGAAAAAGCTCATACTTGGGCGATTAAACGAATATCAAAATGCCTCAAAGAGCAAAAGTACATTCATTCATATTCTGCTAGTTGCGTCACTTCAGGTGATGGGTTTTCAGTATAGAATTTCAAATTTTGTAATTAATTTCATTCAAACAATTACAAAATTTTTGAATAACAACCCATCACGCCAAAAGACGAGACTAACTGAACATGGTAGATTATGTATATTCAATTGGATTTTACACAAAATAAAATGTTCATTTATGTATTATGTAAATAATATTATTTTTAAATATATAGAATATATAAAATATATTTCTATATATATGAATACAGGTATATATACATTCAAAAATATCTTATTTATATATGTAGATTATCCAAAATATTAGTAAATTGATAATAACAGATAAAATTCTCTTAATAAACCGTATGTTAAAAAATAAAAATATTTATGAATTTCCATTTTTTTAAAATAAAGTAGATGTATAACTTCATGTTAATAGATTTATTAATAAAGAACAAATAATCAAACATAACCTGTTAGTCACTTGAAGTGATGGGAAATTATTGAAAATAATTTTGCTTTCTAGTATAGATTTTCGGAATTATGCAAAAAATTCCAAATAACTCATCACGTCAAGTAATGCAAATAACAGAACATAGATGAATATGTTATTAAACTTTTCGAATTTGTATAAACATATCATTATTAATATATCCGCAAAAAATATAAATCATAAAAGATATAATTCTTAATTCATACAAATATCTCATTGGTATCCATAAGAAGTGTCTAAATTGAAAAGGCATAAAAAGAAAAAAAATCATTTTTACACCATATATAATTATTACATATATATAATGCTATATATATATATATATATATACATTACTTTTAGAGGTGATACAAATTTTAAATTAATTTTTAGAAAATCACTAAAATGTCCTTTTACAACAATAGATCTTTAAAAATTGCTTATACAAGAATTTAGTTTCAAATAGTGATAAATTTAAAAAAAAAATACAAAAAAAATAAAATTGATGGAAAAATTTCTTATTTGATATTTGTTGTTTATATTCCCAGGTCAAAATTTAATAGTATTTTATAAATACATTATACATTTTAGATATATATTTTATACATTATATATTTTAGTTTTTAATTTCATAAAACTTTTGTTAGTGTTTAATTTTAAATTTTAAATGTATAATTGTACGTGTATGTAAATATTAATATAGATATTTTTTTTAATTGCCGTGGAAATTTTAACTAAATCTTAATTTATCAAGTGAAAATAGGTGTCTTATATTTGTGAACTAGTTAAAAAACATTTAAATAACACGGGAAAGAATGAAATCTGGAAAATTATTGTTTCTAAATAATAACGAAAATAAATAAGAAAGACTTGGATTTTAATATTGTTTTTTTTTTGGGTTTACCCTTTCATTACTTTTTAATTTATTGTTTGCTTATTATTGAACTTTTTTATTCTGTATAGCAATTGATTGGTTTTTTTCTAATTTTTTTTTATTATGATTACTTTGCTGTTTGCAATCACTTTTATCTTTTTTATCACTTATAGATGATCCATTTGACGAATGACTGATTGGCGGTGATGATGATGCTAAGTATTTTACTTTATCATTGCTTTCATCTTTCAAATTACTATAGCATTGCATTGATACTGCACACATATTATCACCAGATGAATTTGTTGGTGAATCTTTTTCTTCAGCGATTCTAGGTAACATTTCACCGGATGTTTGTAACGATAATGCCAATAATGTATTAGATGTGGACTGTTGCAATTGTTGTTGTGATTGTTGCTGCTGTATTTGTTTGTTAGAACAATCATCTATTTTATTATCACAATCAAATGATGATGATGGTGAAGATAATTTTGTGGAATTATTAGCTATACAAACTTGTTGCATTTGTTTTTGCTGCTCTATTGTTGGAGAACTCATTTTTATTAATTGTTGTTGGTTGTTATTAGCAACCACAGGGGCATTATCTTTAATGAAAACATTACTTCCGATTACAGTACTAGAGCCAATTATACTATTATTGATTATTGAAACTATAGGATTTGAATCTGTAATGGATTGAGTAAGTTGACTGGTGTTATTCTTCTTGTTTATATTAATATTTGAAACTGATGAGGTTGTTGCTGTTACTGACGTTGTAGTTATTATTGTCGACACAGATGCAGGTGCCGTAATAGCACCACCCGAAAATGGTGAATTATTTGTTGTTGAAACAATTGTATTACAATTTCCCGATGAACGCCATGCTGTTGATGTAGCAGTTAGTGATCTATGTTTTTGACTCATTGGTGGTGGACAACATAATGGTGATATAAATGCACATTTATTTTCTGCACTTCGTGGATGGAGACGATCTGGTGATAACGCACGTCTTAAGAGCGGTGAACTTGGTTCAGCACTTTTCGGTCTTGCAAAATTTTTTTTCACTGTGACACTCGCAACATTTGGTAGGACAACAGATGAATTAACACCTGATGTGCATGCGGCTGCAATGTTGCTACTACACACTGTATTACTTGCTACAATTGGGTGATTGGTACCGCTTAATGGACTGTATGACTGAGTTTGATTTGATGCACCAGGCTGATGGCATACAGCTGGGAAAGCTAACGGTGATGGTGAACGTGTTGGTGACGCTGGCAATGGTGATGGAGATGGTGTACGTGCCAATGGTGACAAAGGAATGTGTCCAACAGATTTACGACGGTTGGGGCCAGATACTGGTGATGAATGTATCGATTTTGATCCACCGACACCACAACCACCTGTATGCAATTTATGTTTTAAGCCATGTAGTGTTGACGGCCTTTGATATAAATGTGAACCGTTATTTGGATTACTCTGAGAAAGAATTTGAACGCTTGAACCATCATTAGCATTCTCTGCAAAAACATCTTGAGATACCGATCCATTTGTTCTAGCATTTGCAGAGTTGTTTGAGCATGCGGAAGAAATTTTATGTGACATTTGAACCAAAGGTCCGATTAAACTAGTGCTTGTTGGGGTATTTGGAGCCGATGAGGATGGTGAACTCGATTGCGATGAATTTGAAGGAGCAGAATGATGACAAAATGAATCGAATGGAGATAAGCTTAACCTATTTGTTGAAGATGCTACTAGTGATGCATCAGCCGAACGTGGGAATGAACTAAAAGACTTAGAAGGTGTAACCATAGTTGGAGAAGAAATTCCAGCTGTCATCTTTACATAAGGAAAAAACATGTACACATAAGTAATTGAAGTTTTTATTATGATCAGCGAAGCGAATGAACTTTTTGCCGAATATGAATTTTTGGTATTATGATTACCGAATTCGCCTAAATTTTAGGAGAATGAGCTGTCAAATCTGTCGAATGAAAATTCTGTGTAAACCAAAAATAAATAGAAAAATCTAAACTATCTGTAAAATAAGGTCATAAAATTCCACAAATTATTGTAAAAAATATTAGTTCTTTAATATTAATTTAAGCCTGAAAAACATCCCCCTAATTGCTTAAAATAGTTTTTGAAAAAAAGCAAAAACAATGTACATATGTATGGTCTTAACCTTATTATTTTCTATAGGGTTTTTGATGGCTTGCGGTAGCAACATTTTGGATCCATTCACCGATCACAATTTAAAATGTCAATTCGATATGACTAGTCCATTCGACTCGCTCAACCATTCGCTTCGCCGATCATAATGAGGGTATAAATGTAATAAAAGCAAAAATGAAAAAGATTTAATAATTAATTATACCTGATGGATTTCTGCAGATGCTCTTTTGGTACTTATCCTTCTAAAAAGTGATGTTTTTCTCTTCTTTTCATGGTGATCTTTTTTTTGCTTTTTCTGCCGATTTATGCCTTTCTTGGCCAATTTACTTTGCCATAATTCCCTTCTCCTTCCACCGCTTTGAATACTAGTATGCTCCAGCGGTGTAGCTCTCAAAGTCACATGTTCTCCACCACTTAATAATAACTGCAATACTTGTGTGTGATATAAGCCCTGAATTGTTTCACCATTTACATGTGTGATCAGGTCAGCTGGTCGTAAGCCGGCTTCAAACGCTGGACTGCCCTCATCAACAGCCATTACTAGGTGATGCATTGTATAAAAATTGGTGTCACCGTAGTAAACTCTTATTGTATGAACTGTAAAACCAAAACCTTTGGGTCCACGTCTTATTATAATTGGTGGTTTCAAATTAGTTACTAAAGGGGAAAGTTCTCTGCATGGAGAAGTATCGCGAGAGCTCGCAGTGCTCGAACCACCACCACCGCTAGTGTTTGCAAGAACTGGTGATTGTACAGCACCCCCGCTATTTTCTAATGATACATGACTATTCGTTATCGATTGATTTGAGTCATTTGACGTTGAACTAGGAGCAGATACAATTAGAGATAAACCAAGAGCCGAAGCACTTTTAACAACCGACCGTGATCGCTGCTTTACATTAGTGTTATGGCTACTATCTGTTGTTGTAGTAGATGTTTGTAATCCAGCTGCTAGTGGTGATTGATCACGTTGAGGAATGGTAATATCTAATAGTGATAGAGCCCCGGTATTATTAAGAACTGCAGAATTATTTGATACAACGGTTTCATCCTCGATAGAAATTGAAAAACGTGGTAGTAACTCACGATTACTAAGATTAGTCTTACGTTTTCTTTGTATTTGAGGAGACAGATCATCACTATCGGTTTGTGAGGACTCTGGTGTACTTAGATTTTTACGATATGCCGCCAATGATGATATTTGATGTGTGTCAATAAGTTTTCTACTTTCTGGTAAATTTGGTGTTGAAAATTGTTTTAGTATCGTATTACTTTTTATTAAACCAGAAGGTGTACCTGATATTTGAGTTTGCCGTGTCAGTGATAACACTTTTGAAGAACTTGAAATTAAAGAATGACAATTCGACTGATTTGAACTGTGATGATGATGGAAATTGTGGAAATGATGATGGTGGTGATGATGATGTTGCTGTTGGGTCTGCTGATGTTGATGACGATGATGATAGCTACGATTGCCCACATTAGAAGACGATACACTATTATGTATAGAGGTTGGATCTAGTTCTATATTGCACGACGCTGTATTTGTTTGTTTTGTATTTATATTAGACAACGATTCAAGGTTTTTAGATGTCGAAAATACCGGTAACATTTGATTCGTAGTTGAAGGAATATTAGTTGTTAGGGTAGATGTGCCAGTAATAGATTGTTGTTGTTGGTGTTTCAAATATTGATGTATAGATTTAATTTCTTCACGATCAGGTGTATTTAAAAATTCAGGCATATAATCGGTGTCAGGTGTAGAAGGAAATTTTAAATTTCTACATGTTAACTGTAACAATAAATATAGTTTTTTGTCAATTTCAATCTAAAACAAAAAATAAGCATACATAACTATGTTTATTGTAGTATGTTTACAAATTATGAACCAAGTACAATTGATTTGAGTTTTGTTACCCAATAATTTTGACCCTAATGCATCAAATTGAATCATAAATTGATTGCAGTTAGGTGCACTTGGCAATAAGAATGGTTTAATCTCTACACTTATATATTTGCAAAAATAATGGAATTCGATACGAAAATCGGGAATGCATACAAAAATATTATTTTCAAATTTCGGGAAAACAAATTAATTGATTCTTTTTAACATCATAACATAAGTTATAATAAGGTTTGTTGTCCAAAAAAAAATACGTTTTATAAAAATACCACAAGCACATAGTTAAATATATATAAAATTATTACATCGAGTTTCCTGAGCTCTGGCGTCGCTAGCATTTTATTTAATTCAAGATTACTACTGTTATCCTCGGATGTAGAATTTGATGCTAATCGTGACCAGCAATAATGTTGCTTTTTATATTGCGGCGTATAAGAACTAAAAGAGCCAAAGACAGGAGTGTCGTCAGTATCGTCGGTATCATCTCCTGCTAAATCATGATTATATCGATCCAAGCGAGCTAAAAATTAAATTATATTTTACAATTTTTTTCAAAATAATTAGTCAAGAGGCAACCAAACACATACTATCAAAATAACTGGTATCATCATCACTTGCTAATTGTGGCACAAATTCAGCTTTCTGTCTTAATAAAGAATTCCAATCTAAACCAAGAAAATAACAGTGATCTTTAACTTCATGAGCACCGCTTGTACCCAAACGATCTCTTGGATTTTGTTGCAATAGTTGTGTTATTAAATTTTTTGCTTCTGGTTGTACAGACCAATCTTCATTGTCAGGCCATTCAATATCATCATTTACAGTATGAGCAAATAATTCTTCGGGTGTTTCTCCAAAAAATGGTACACAGCCAATTAAAAATTCATATAATATTATACCCATTGACCACCAATCAACTGGTTTGCCATAACCTTGTCTTAAAATAACTTCTGGTGCAATATATTCTGGTGTACCATAAACTTGTTTATCAGAAAATTGTCTAGTTTCACTATCGATATAACCTTCATATAAATTTGTTGCTAAGGACATTAAGCCCATTTTAGATAAGCCGAAGTCAGTCAATTTGATATGACCTAATGCAGTTATTAACAAATTATCCGGTTTCAGATCACGATGCACAATACCATAACTATGCAAGTATTCCACAGCTAATACTGTTTCGGCAAAATAAAATCTAGCCATATCAGATGGTAAAGGTCCAATACCTTTTAATAAATTTGCACAATCACCTCCTTCAACATATTCCATTACAAGACATAAATGCTTTTTTGTTTCAAAACTGCAATACATACTAACAACAAATGGATTATCAGCAAAACTTAATATATCCCGTTCAGCAAATACTTGCTCAACTTGATTTCTTAAGATTAAGTTGTTTTTATTAATTTTTTTCATAGCAAAGCGTTGCCTTGTTTGTTTATGTTTTACTAAGTAAACAGCACCATAAGCGCCATTTGATATGAGTTTAACAATATCAAAATCATTTTCATTTGGTATTTGCTGTAGGTGTAGTTGTTTTTCTTGTAATTTAGTTTGTTCGTTAAAATTATTATTTTTACTGCCAGTATTACAATTATCATTGTTATCAACAGCAGTATTATTTTTATTGCTTTTATTGCTCATATTAGTACTGCTGTTATTTTTTTGTGTTGGCATAACTGAATTATTAATAACTTCTTCTTTTTCGTTTTTCATATTGTCAGAAATTACTTCACTAGTACTGAGATCTTTTACATTCTCCTCTCCTTTTTTAGATTTATTCAAAATAGCTTCAACATTTATATTAGACGATTGTATCGAACTTGAAATGTTGGAATTATTTGAAATATTATTTAAAGAATTTGATTTATCTTTATCACCCAATTTGCTGATTTTTTCTGTGGATAATTTCTTTTCCAATTGGTTCGAATCTTCCATTTTGCTATTTTCATTTGAATTTCCAGCAATAGATGAGGATTTTTCCAAATTTTTACTACGAGATTCCCAATTATCATTTGAGGATATCTTATTATTTGATTTGTTCATATCTAATACTTGATTTGTTTCAATTAATTCCTGATTCAATTCGGCAATAGGATCTCGATTTAAACCAAGTTTTGAAACAATATATTGTGGTATGTCAGCATTAATGCCTGAAAGACTCATTATACTACTAAATAAGATGAAAGTAAAAAAAATTACCTTGCAACATCTTTGCTTGACCTTCAGCTGCTTCTAATAAATGATAAAATTCTTCTGGATCGAATTCCAAACATTCCAACAAGCGTGCTGGTCGCGATATAATTAACAATAACTTTTTAATTATACCAGTTAATTCAACTGCAGCTTCTGGGGATTTCTCATGTGTTTCAATTAGAAGTTTTTCTAAATTTTCACTCATTTCATAGAAATATCTACTTGTTATTAACTTTGCTGTAGATTTATGCAAACAATCACGCGCCATTTCAATTACTTGATGATGTACAAATCTTGCTATTGGCTGTGAATCACGGAAATAATTACAAGCTGCATCTTTACTTTCATTGATAAAGTGTTTTAATCTTTCTTCCATTTGTATTGTAGCTTTAGGAAAACGTTCTTTGTATAACGTATTCATTATCGCAATTTCGTTATCAATAATTGGCGATCTACTTGGACTTGATAAGCTTCTTGATCTTGGTCTATGAAATGGTGAATTTCTCCCCCCACCAAGAACATTATTTCCACTGCCAGTTACTGTATTTCCACTACCAACATTAACTATATTTTTATTTATGTTGTTGTTGTTAATAATATTATTTTTATTTTCTGGTGTTGACGTACTATTTATACTGTCATCATTGTTCATGGAACGAGATAATGCAGCTGCAGCGGAAGATGGTGGCAAAGGAAGCGGTGGTGTTGAACAGATATTATTTTGCGGACTGCTACATGAACTTGGTGGTGTAAAACAACATTTTTGAAATTGGTTTTGATTCCAAGTATTTGGCGGTGTCGAATATATACTGCTGTTAGTATTGTGCAACTGTTTTGGTGTGCTTATAGATTGCGGGGATGACATATGAGATTGAGACGGGGTTTGATGAGATAAGTTGTGTAAATTATGTTTTGCAGATTGCGATTGCTGTAGCGGATGTATAACACCACTCTGCCCTGACATTGTATGCTGATGATATTGTTGTGATTGCTGATAATGTTCAGGACAACATGCAGCCATATCATTTGAAAAATGATGCGAAAGAATTCGTAATTCATCTGTTGTTGGAACATTTGGTAACTGATGTAAACGCTCATGGCTCGAACATTGAGACTTGTTTAAAGAACAAAAAGAAAACAAAAATTCTTTAATATTATTTAAATATATTTTAAAATTAAAAAGAAAAGTAACATTGTAATCGTATTCCTAATAATTAAAAATTTCATGTACCTACCGACAAATTCGAGCTACCTGGGGTAGTACCATAACCAGATGATGGCAATGAAGCAACTGACCAACGTCTTCCATCTCCCCTACAACATGAAATTCGTTTTATTGGAGCGAATGCAAATTGCATTGGCGAATTAATACGTGGACTATCTATTGGACTAGCTGATATTGGTGAATGAGATCTTGGCGAAGTATTAAGACCTGTTATGCCACTAACTAAACTTAAACGATGATTTGTTATAACATTAGCTCCAACATTACTGTATCTATTAACATTTATTGGCATTGAATATTGTGATCGTCTCTGCGGTATTATGATTGCAGCTGTAGCAGCAGCTACCGAATTCTCTTTAAACGTTGTCGAAAGTGATGGCGCCGATTTACCTAAAGTTGAACTTCTCAGTCGTGTCAAATTGGTCATTTCTGTTTAAAAGTGATACGAAAATAAAAATTATATCAAGGTGAATGAAAATGAAAAAACATTTTTTGGAAAAATAATAAAATAGGATTGACACATTTTCAACAAAATAATTTTGAATAATATCAAATTTTCTCACCATTATTGCCCAATGTCCTTAATGAATGTTGAAATGAAATTTTTCTTGCCATATTTGAAAAATCTCTACTCGATGGTAATGATATTGAGCTCGCATTTAAACAACTACCAGATAATGTTTTACATAACGAAGTATTTCTTAAAACTGATGTAGAATCTTTAATAAAATTTATGTTATTGCAACCACTAATAATACCAATTCCATTAATAATATTACTAGTACTAATAGTAGCACCACTGTTGCTAGTTGAATTATTATTTATCATAATATTATTTCCATTATTACCATTCAGTATATTATTAGTATTAATAGTATTTCTACTATTAATATTAATACAGTCTGATGAATTATTTTTTGAGAGTAAATTTGATGTTGTTGATAATGCTGGTAACATTAAAGTTGTGGATGTTAATGCTAACGTTGTGGCTTTTAATGATGTAGATGCTGTTGATATTGTAGGTAAATTTTTTGTTGCCATTGTAGTTACAATATTTGCCGATCCTTGCGTATCATTATTTCCATCACTTCCTAATGACGATGATGATGATAATAATGATTTTGTTGCTTTTGTTGATTTCACTACTTTGTTTGATGATGAACTAGGATTAGTAATATCAGTTCCACTATTATAGTTAACATTACTGTTGTGGCTGTTATTATTTCTACCACAACTACTATTATTACTACAATTATTAGTACTACTGTAATTATTGCTGATGTTGTTACTTTCATTATTTTGTTCTTCATTTTTTTTATCGAATTCGGTCACTTCAAAATTTTTACTTTTTCCTTTATTTGCATCATCATTCTTCAAAATATTATTTTTGTGCTCATTTATTTTCTCTTTTGCTTTTATTAAAGATTCTTCAATAGGTTTTTTTATTGAATTTTCATTTTCCTTTATTTTTTCTTTTGATTTTATTACTATTTCTTCCATTTCTTTTTGATTATATTCAATTAAACTTTTATTTAAATGTCCATCATTTTCATTTTCTGAAACTACAACTTCCTTGTTTCGTAAATCACTATCATCATTATCATTATCGTAAAATATTGCACTTATATCAACTGCATTTATTTTATTTGCATTATCTTTATTAATTTTTTCTTTATTATTATTATTTGTCTTAATATCAGCATCACAATCATCATATGTTAAAACACGTGCTGAATGCATTGACTGCGATCTAATTCTTGACAATGTGTTGTTACTTTGGTATTGATGATGACGATGGTGATGATGTTGATGATTAGGATGTTGGGATTGTAATTGTTGTTGTTGTTGCTGTTGTTGTTGTGTTAATCCAATCAATAAAGATTTATTTTGAAGATTTTTTATTAAAGACGACGGTGGTGGCGACGATGGTAGTGATTGTGATTGATCTTCCTTTTGTAAAACACATGAATTTGGATTGTATAATGGTGGCGGCGCAACACCTGATGATATTGTCGATTGTGGTAATAATTGTATTGGATTTTGTATTTTATTTTCAAAATAATATGATAATGGTGATGGTACTTTTGTTGAACTTTGTTGCCGAACATTCATTTTTTCTAAAGGTGATGATGTTGTAGGTGGTATTGATGATTGAATTAACGAAGTAGATGATGATGATGGTGATGATGTTGATGATGAAAATAATATTGATGCTGATGATGTTAGCAATGGTGATGTGGTTATTGCTGCTGTTGTTATTACAGAAGGACTTTGATTATTATTGTTATTATTATTATTATTATTTATATTGCTATTTGAATTTTTTGGATGGTATAATGATGATGAAGAAGATGATGTTTTTTCTTTATCTCTGCTGCTACCGTTTGACATTTTTTTAATGTTTGCTGTTTGCTTTATGGTTGTGTTAAATGTCTTAGTAGTTTAATTTTATATTAATAATTTTTATTTAAATAATGGGTGTTTGGTTTTTATTTCTTTTAGTAGATTTTTAATTAAATGTTATTAAAATATTTTTATATTTTAATTTTTTTCTTTTTTTGTTATTTTTTATTATAAAAATGAAAACGATAAAATTAATCACAGAAGCTTTTTTTTTTTGTTTTATAAATTTTTAAATTAGTTTTACTTTTATTTTACGGATTTTTTTTAACAAAGTAAAAAGAAAGTGTAAAATTTAATGTGTAATTTTTTTAAATATGAAATTTATATTTACATCTTACAAAATGTTCATAAATTCTAAGATTCTAAAGATGTTTAATAAAATTTTTATTTGCTTTTTGTTCTTAAAATTAAGAAATTGTTTTATATCATGATTATTTTTTTGAAATTACATAAATTGTAAAACTTAAATTAAATAATTCAAATTTGCAATTTTTATTTCCGATACAATAATAATAAAAATAATAATAATATTAATAATAATATTAATAATAATATTAATAATAAAAAAAAACAAGAAATATATAACTTTTAAAATTTTACAACTTTTCTTTTATAAATTAATTACTTAAAGCAAAAAAATATATATATGCGTATAAATAAAAAAAAGATATATAATTTTTTTTTAAATCTTAAATTTTCTATTTTGTTTTTTTAATGTTTATGTCTTTTATTTACAAGACAAGCTTCACTCTTTTTTGCATTCTTGTGTTGTTAAAATTTTTTTATTAAAGAATCCAAAACAAAAAAATTTTTCGAAATTTAGCATATTGCTTTCGGATTCCAAAATCATTTCTTAAACATCACCATTATTTTTTCTTTACAATTCGAATTGTTAAATATATTCACAATCATTTAGTTTGCCAAAATATTTTAACAAAATATTTTTAACTTGATTTTTCCTTATTTACCAAATCACAGCCAAAAATATACTTATGTGTTTTTTAAATATTTTATTGAATTATAAGAAAAGAAATCACAAAAAAAAAATTAATGGTGAATGAAACTAGTTTTAAAACTAATAAAAAAAATAGTCTTTAAATTTTGAATATTATTCCTCTTTCTTTTCTGATCATGTTTTTTTATTAATAAATTTCTTTTTCTTCAAATATTTCTCATAATCTTTTATATATTATATTAATTAATAATTATTTTTGCGTCAAATTAAATATGTATTTTGAAATTTCTTGGAAATCCTGTGTGTGTGTGTGTGAAGAATATTTTCAAACCCTCTTTGTATAATGTGGTTGATCTTCTTGTAAGTTGTTCTTCTACTAATAACGATGATCTTTTATTCTATCAATTTAGTTTTTTTCTTTAAAATGATTTTTTATTAAAATTATTATTTATTAAAATCATTTTTCCATTAGAGATTTTTATTGAATTTCAGCAAATTAGTTTGTTTATTGAAATTAAATATGTTGTTGATAATTTATATATACAGTTTATGTACAATGACAATAAAAATAATTTCAATTTCTTAATATTTTTTATCGATAGTTTCTTCGTTCCCATTTTTTTTGCGAATATTATTTTTAACGTTTTTTTTAGTGTTTGAGTTTTTGCTGCTCTTGTTTTATTTTTTAGTTTTCTTCTTTTTTCAATTAAAATTCATATTATGTACTGTTTGTTTTTCCAGTTATTTTCGGCAATTATATTAATATCAAATTATTTTTTGAGTTCTTCACCATATCCCCCATTCTATACATAAACCTTTGATGTTTTACCTAAAATGAAAAGCAGAAAAATTATTAAAACCAAATTTAAAATCGAAAATTATTCAATTTAAAAAAGAAAAGACTAGAAGGTAAAATTCATTAAAATCTGTTTCATATGTATAACTACAGAGTTTTTGCAGAAATCTGACAAAAAGAGTCAGTGATAAAATATAGTTTAAAGCAAGCTATATTTTAAAAAATACATAGCAAAAATATCAGAAGGAATTTTCCATGACCTTTTAAAATTGTGTACAAATGGTTTTCCCCTGGGTTTTACGAAATACATATCTGAAATACCTGGCATTTAATGAAATAACAAATTCGCAGTGTTGTGCTAAAAAAAAAGGATAACCCTCAATATTTTTTCTGTGATTTTGAAAAAGTATCTAAATAATGTCTCAAATTAAAAATAAAAATTAAGTAGATACATTTGTACTCTGTTAGGGAGGTGGCTGCTAGGTTGGTCAAGTTAGACTTTTTTTTTTAAATATCACATAAGAATAATGAAAATAACATATTTATAAAGTACTCCGAGGGTAACTATCGAAATATTCATAATTTATAGCTATATACTAGACATAATTATATCATGAGTGGATTACATACATACATACATATGTACTTATCTAAATTACTATTAAAATTAAAAGAGAATAAAAAAATATCACAAGGGAGCAAGGAAATACTGTCTACAAAAAGCGCAAATGTAAAAAAAAATCGCTTTAAAAAGGACGACTTTACTTGCTTTGAAAAAGAGGCGATTTTCAAAAGTTACATAAAGGCTGAACAAACAAGTTAAAATTAAACTCAAAACCAAACTCGAAGTACAATATGCTGCTTAGAATAATTTACTTCCAAATACATCTGAAAGAAATTTAATATCAAAGCTTAAAACAAAACTTGTATTCAAACTTAGTGCTCAGCAGGCAGACATACAATTTTTAGTTTTGCAACTGTCTGAATGCTTATTTTTATTCCACAGGTTTATATTCAAATCTTGCAATTAAATGAAACTTAGACCGGATCATCTGTCAAATATTCTGCTCCAACAGAATTAGAAATAGTGACCTATGCGTTCCTGTGCAAGCAGGATCCGATAGAAATAGAAATCAGAAAGAAGAAATATAGATTGATAGGTCACATATTGAGGAGGCTAGAGCAGTCCATAGTCAAACAAGCGTTAAAATAGAATCTTCAGGGTAGGCAGAGCATCTGTAAGACTAAGAACACGTAGCGTAGAACGATAGGTAAAGAAATAACAGCAGCAGGGAAAACTTGCGCACAAATAAGATCTATCACCCAAAATAGAGAGAGATGGAGAGGTTTATCCGAAGCCCTATGCTCCTCAAGAGGAGTTTGAAATGGATTAAAAAATAATTGAATGATCGCATGCAATTAAACAATCAAATAGTTTGTAATTTTTTACAAACTGATTGTAGTTTTTAGTAAACGCAATCGATTTGAATTGATACAATAGTTTAATTGCTTAAGATGTATGCGCAGCGATTTTAGAATCAAACAGTAATTGCAAAACTAAAAATTGCATGTCTGCTTCAGCCCTTAGTTCATTTTATATTATTGAAAAGTAATTGAAATTTTACAATTTTCAATAATTAACGCTATCTGATGATGTTTTGCAAAGGCTATGAATTTCTTCCAAATTTATTCTTGTTAGATAATTAAATTTTGCGATGATAATTGTGCTAATTTTTTATGTGTTGCACGCGATATCTAGACAAGCAATTCTTAAACTCACTTTGCAAATTTAAAGGCTCGTACAGAAGAGGGCGTTCTGCACAATCTTATACACAATGTTTAGTTAAGAAATTCATTTAGATGAAATTAAAACCGTGCGCAACATGAAAATCGTATTTAAAAAAAAAATCATATAAAAAGAAACCTTACTGTATCTTCAATTTTTTTTCTCCATTCTCTCTATTTTATAAAATTAATGAAAAATGTGTTTTTTTCTTCTATAAAAAAATATAAAGAATTACAAAAAATTTTTAAATATGTATGTATATGTCATACAACTGTATCTCTATAATTATACAAGATGTTTCACATAAATTGTAAGCAAATTCAAGTATGATTCTTTGACCAATTTCCAGCAAAAAAATGCATAAGCAGAGAAGAGCCCGACATACTTTTCGGGCTACAGCCTGTTGAAAAAAAAGTACCAGATTTTTTCTCCATAAGTATAAATAAATAGTTATAACTTCGGAACCATGTAACATAGATCCAACCGTCGCGGGTTTGTTTTACCGGCAATTAATTGCTCTTCATTTTCGGTCTTAAAATTATTTTGATCTGAAACACAGTTTTCCAGATAAAGTTCGCCAAAATCAGAATTTTTGTTTTTTTTTTTTTAATTATTTTTAAAAAACTCTAAATTTCTCTAAAATTTAATTTAATACAAATTCCTTAATATACATACTAGACTAAAAAAACTAAACTATAAACTAAAAAAATATTTGTAAATGTTATGTTTGTATGAAATGTATCAAATATATTTTACAGCAATCAATTGCATGTAAAACATTTATACTATGATTACTCTATGGTAACATTAAAATCTGTTAGATTTCGAACTAAAACCTTTTTTTCAACTGGTTATAGCTCGAAAACTAGTATATCTGCACCCCTCCTCCCATACCTTTCCTGGCTGGAAATTTATCAAAAAATCATCCTTAAAATTATTTTCCACCTTATGTGAAACACCCTGTATAGTACGTACTTCATATAAATTTATATATACACATTATATACAATTAAGTATATATATATATATGCGTATATACATATATGCCGTAATAATGTAAATATTTTTACTACAAGTTTTATACAAGGTAGGTACTTAAGTAAGTAGGTGCATAAATAAAAAATTTAAAATAATAATAAATAATTGTGTTATATTGGCTACATTATTACTCACACTTTTATAATAACACCAACCATCCTTTATTTTTTGTGCTTATATCACGCGACATACAATTATTTAGGTACAAGTATAATGTGTAGTTAGATATACATTTACATATATATATATACAATTAGCAAATTAAGGAAACTAAAAGAAAAAAAACAGACATACATACATATAAATATATTAAAATTATAAACTTATTTTATAATTTTATAAAAAGAAAATTTTAAGTGATTTAATAAAACGGCTTATTTACTGCTGGGTAATACAACTGGTATAACTCAAAATTACAATTTCTGGAGTTTTTATATACAGAGAAAAACATTTCTTCTTGATGCAAAATAAACATCAATATTGTTTAAAATAAAAATCAAAAAAATTTTTATTCAAAACTTTTATACAAAATTTTAGTAATAGATTTTCTTTGCAAATTAGCAAATTTTGAGTTATGTTAGTTTTGCAGCAAACAAGCGATAAATTATATAGATAATTGAGTGTTCAAAAGAGTATAGGTCCATTTTTTTCAGAGAAAATAATAATTATATTATAATGTAGTTTATAAATATTTATTTATACATAATAGATGCATACGTAATTTAATGAAACTTGGAGGTGTTCGTTCTCTCCTCTACATTAAAATAAATTGTAATTCAGTTCTTAATTCAGTGCTCAATAACTCCGTTCAGTTTATAAACAATAAATTTGTTGCATGAAAAGATAATGGGCAATAAATAATATTGCTATTTTTTGTTTTGATTCTTATAGCAAGCAAGCAATCCGTTTGACGCCTGTTTTGTCCTAAAATCTGAATTAAATTACAATTCCAAATTCATTTTAAACTTATTACATTATTTGGGTATGTAGGTACCTAGCTATTTTTCAATTTAATGTTATACTAGCATTAAATTTAATTTCGAAATGACTGCTATCGATGCCAAAACAATATATTTACAACAAATTTTGTACTTTAAAGACCTCTGATTGATTATTACACTTAATTAGAAAATTACCTATAAAAATTTCAAGTTTATTTAAAAAATGTCACTACTCACTTTCATACAAATGTAAACCTATAATTCATAAGAAAAAATAAAAAAAAAAATCGAATTTCAGAACACCTTTGAGTTTACACTTTCATCTTCATTTTATTAAAATTAATTTAATTTTAATAATTATAAGAAATTATGAATTTCAGAATTCAAAGCAATAATTTTATATAATTTATGCAAGTGACACATTAAAATTTCTGACAGTTCAATACTAATCAATAGGGATGGTAAGTAGTCCGTTTTTTGTTTTCTTAACAAAACATTTTATAAAAAAATTCAATTACCGAGAATTTTAAAAATGCTATTTAAAGCTATATTAAGATTTTTTGTATAAGTATATATTATTATGATAAACTCATACATACATATGTATGTATGTACATAATACCCCTTTTGAGATTTCAAAAATTAGAATTAAATCTATACATAAAATATTTTACTTACAATAATTACAGAAACAGTTGAATTCTATATAAATATATATATATATTAAAATACATCACCGTGTATAATTACCGTGTGCATTTGACCCCACCACCCCACAATATATATGTATTTTCTAGTAAAATTTAAATATAGGTACATTTGCACATACATATCTATGGATATATGCATATATGTATAAATATATTTATAAATTATGTATTAAATTTTTTATCTACGAGTATTTTTGAAAATCGTGTATGTATAAAAAAAATTTTTTATACATTCACAATTTTCAATTTATACATACTTATATATTTATTCCATCGGAGTTTTATTTTAATTTTATTTTTATTTTAATTTGTAGAAATATTTTAAATAATTTAAATTTTTATAATAATATAAACACCTCTACTCTTCTTATTTAATTTAAAGACAGATGGAGAGAGACAGAGAGGAGAGAGAGGAGAAATAAAAATACATATTCTGTCATATGAGATTTATGAGTGTTTTTTTATAATAATATATTTTTCGGGCAACCAAGAACAAGCACTAAACTACACTAAATGTTGTTGTTGATTTTTGATTGTGTTTTTGATTATTGTTTTAGTTGCTCTTGCTTTTTACTTTTCTCATCTCATACTTAAATCACTATAATCACTCTACTATCTTATTTGTTATTATTATTATTATTATATTTTTTTGTTCTTCACCTTCTTTTTCTGAAATAATTCATTCACAATAATTGAATGTAATTTTAATTTTAATGTACATGGCAAAACGCAGTTATAAAATTCTTATATACATGTCTATATACATATATACCTAAATATATTTATATATATAAACTTATATTATTCCCATAGATAGACAGTTTTTTTTTTATAAAAATCAATTTTGTATTTTTTTTCTCACACTTTTATTTCTCTAAAAAATTACCTACAAAAAATTGCGTGATTTAATAAAAACGCTTTATTTGAAAATTAATTTTTCTAAAAAAAACTTTACATTTATATTTTTTTTTTTCTCATTTTACTCTCTTAATTTTTCTACTACTACTATTTTTTTCGATAAAAATTCACTTTTACTTTTATTTTTCTCCTTTTTTTGTTTCTTCTGATTTTTTTTCATTTTTCCCCATTTTCAAAAACAAAATTAACTCACACCATCAAATTGTGTTTTATTTCAATTTTTTTTAAATTGCACTCCCCACCAAATGCAAATTAATTTTTTCAATTCATCATCATTAAAAAAACCACCATTCATCATTTTTTTTAATTGAAAATATTAAAAATTAAAAATAAATTTCGATTGTTTTATCTTTTTCTTTTTTTGATTTTTGTCCTTCTTTTGTTCAGAAATAAAAATTTCGAACTTTTTTTTTGAATTAAGACTTTTATTTTTTTTTCTGAAAACTTTTTTTTACTTCTGCATAAAAAAAAAGAAAAACAAAAACTAAAAATCCAATTTTTACCTATTGATTTAAAGAAACAAAAAAAATCACTGTCATGTCATAAAACTGTCAGGCAGAGAAGAACAGAAAATAATAAAAACATAGCAAAAAAATTACATATTGGGTTTTTTTTTACACCTTGACACTAGTTCATCTATCTTTCCTTTTTTACATTCTGATTTTAATCGACTGTCACAATAAATACAGTCCCTGTGAATAAGGTGAATTCATTGGTTCGGCGTTTTTGAGCTGAGCTATTTAAAACCGAACTATTTTTTCTCTTGATTGTTCATTGGTTCGTATGAGAAAAACTGACCGTTTTTTTTTGTTATAATGCATTTATTACTTTTTTGACAAGAATTTTATGTCATTGTAATAGTTCAGTATACGTAAAATTGACGTTTTGAAAAACCTCCGCACTAAAGTTGAAGTTGATTCAACTTCAGAGATTGAGAGAGAGAAAGAAAGCTGTACTAAAAATACAAAAAGTGTCTAAAATGCAAATTTTCATATAAAATGCATCAGTTCGTCGCTGACGAACCAATGAATTTGGTTATAGTCAGTGTTGCGACTAGGGCTGTCGTTTGGCTCCGATTTAAAAATTTGTGTTCTAGGATCCTCCTTCTGCATTTTGGCTACGATTTTGTTTTTTCCTCAGTCAGACCCCAAAATAATATTGATAATAATTTTTAAAAAAATTCATCAGTTGAAACTTTTTTTGCAATATTTAAAAATTCGTTGACAATACCTTGACTAACGAAATTATGTATATATACCTTTTTCTGCCAATTCAAAAGCCGCCACATATCTTTTTGTAGTCAAATTAGTAAATTAGTCAGTTAAAGTGTCAAATAACCAAGCTTATAAAAATTCGTGGTCGTTAGCAGATGAAATATTTTTGTATGGAATTTTTTCAATAAACGATAATATTGCAATTTTGACATTTTAATTGAAGTCGATCGAGTATATTGTTAAAAATTGAAAAAAAATTATTCAAAGCAACCTCAGTTTTGCGCATTGTAGTGCGGCAGCTGAAAAGGTAATAGTTTAATTTATTTTGTAAATTAATTTAAAACTAAATTTGTGCGGTAAAATGTTGCTAATCGAAGAAAAAAATACAGCTTGACAGCTAGCAAATCAGGCCCTTATTATGAACACAAATTTTTAGTATTATGATTAGCGAATTCGCCTAAATTTTAGGAGAATCAGCTGTCAAATCTGTTGAATGAAAATTCTGTGCGACAAGCTTGGCGAATGAAACGAAAAATCAAAATAATACATGAGTGCTTCTTTTTTTTAATATTATAGCATTTATAGTGATACAATTGAAAAATCTAAACTATCTGTAAATCATAAAATTCTACAAACTATTGCAAAAAATATTGATTATTTTTATTATGAGTGAAAGAAACGAACCAAAAGCAATTCGACCATTAATTAAATTAATGGAAAACAACCCTCACATTGCTAAAAGGATAGAAAAATTCAATTGTTTTTGCAAAAAAGCAAAAAAATGTATATATGTATGTGTGGTGCTAATCTCATTATTTTCGGTAGGTTTGTTGATATCTTGCGGTAGCAACATTTAGGATCTGGCGAATGAAAGAATTCGCCGATCATAATTGAAAATGTCATTCAATTCTCCTAGCTATGTGCTTCGCTCATTATAATATGCGTTTAAAAATGGAGCGCTACCACGATTGACAGAAATACACGTTTGGACCCTAAGAGAAAGTGACATTTCACAGCTGATGAATTTACACGTATTCTTAAGGAAACTATAGAGGGCCCAGTTTAAGATTATAAATCTCCCACAAGATTCATTTTTTCCAAATTTCAGTTAAATTTTTTTCTATATTTTTTTTTCTCGAAGTATTTACTTGCTTTTTGTGTATTTTTTCAAATTTGAGAAAATGTACATTTGATATTAATAAATTTACATAATTAGCGTATGACATGACTTCCACATTGCATATTTCTTATATAATCACATATAAATCTATATATTTTTTATGTGTATACTATATTAATTAAACTTAAATTAAAATCTAATAAAATTTTTATTAATTTTGTTTTAAGTCTTGTGTTCTAGCTTAAAAAATATAATACCATATATAGTACAACAAAAAAATATGATTCTTCAGTAATGTCATCTCGTCAAAAATGCATATGCATTTTTAACAAATACGTTCACAAAAAAGCAATGTCGGGGCTTTGATTTTTTTGTAATGTCAGGACCGCTACACAAAAGAACAACTTATTTTTATTATTGAGTAATATTTTGCAAATAATGAAAGTTTTTTAAACAAAATCATCTTCAGCGATGAAGCTCATTTTCATCTTCGGACCATTCTATGTAGTTCGAAAATGCAGCCGGTCAGACAATACCGGTTAAAAGTGCTCGCTATGCGACATGATAATCTATTTTTTGTGCCAAAATTCAAGATATGGATGTGGATGGCACGTGCTTTCAGCAAGACGGTGCCATATACCCCACGAAACAATTCACATTACTGGATGAGTCATTTCAAGCTTTTTACTATTGTTTAAATTATTTTTACGAGTTTTAATTTTAAGTTCTTTCGTATTCTACAACTAAGCTCAATATATGTGCATATTTTGACATAAATATTATAATATTTTGAAGAGCCCATGTTGTTTTTTTTGCACCACAATTATGTATCAAATGAAAGTGGCTGCGGCTTAAATGCAGCTGACAAACTATCTGTCCGAACTACAATTATTTTTGTCGTAGTAATATGCCAAAAATCATCTAAGTTAAATTAAAGTAAATGTTTGTTTGCTATAGCGTTCTCATATTGCCAGATTTATTTGATTTTTCAGATTTTTAGGACGTCTGCCAGATGACCAGATTCTTGGTAAAAATGCTTTTTTGGCTCATGTGGCATTAACATTATGCTTTATTGAAATAATTAAGCCTATTTAGTTTTTCGTTGCCAGTGTGTAGTGATCCAATCTAGAACGAACTTTTTTTGTGATAAGTAACCAAACTGTAGATACAAACTGTTAACAGACCTTAAATGAAATATTATTATATAATTATTTAAAACAAAAAACCTATGTACCTATTATAATTTCATTATTATTAAAAATTTTTTGAAAATTTTATTGAAATAAGAATAGTTTTTGATAAACAAGCTATATTAAGCATTTCAGAAACTGTAAATACATAATTGTGGTTTTTATAAATGGTAAACATTAATGGATTAAAGACAATTAAATATATAACAATAAAAATTATGCTTAAATTCATATAAAAGTTTGATTTTTTTATTAGAATTTAAGCCAGTTTTTTTCTTTTTTTATGTTGCTAGATTTTTCAGATATTTTGACGAAATTTTCCAGATTTCCCGTAAAATTGACATGGTAATGCTGATTGTTTAAATGCTATGCTTTGCTTAAATTTATTTTAATATACATATAATTTTTATGTTTGCATTCACATGAAAAAAAAAAACTAATAGAAAAAACATTTTTTGTTTATACACATACTGCTCTGCTATAGCGCCGTCTATATTTCAATACAATTCATATTTTTTCGCTAGTTTTCGGCTTTTTTTCAATTTTTGTTTGTATGTATGTAGTTGAGAATTGAAAAGTCAAAATCAGAAAATTGTATTGTAACAATGAAAGAAAAAGAGAGAGAATATAATAAAATTAAAAATGAAAAAGAAAAGAGACAAAAATAGAATAAGGTGAAATTTCAGTATGAAATTTATAATTCGAGAGTTATGCTGCAAAATTTTGTATAATTTTTCCGTATTTTTTTATTTTTATTGTATTTAATTTTTTAAGACTACATTTTTTTCGGTTTTTTCGGGTGAACATAAAATTTTATAAAAAAATAATATTTCAGAAAGAAATAATTTCCAATATTAATTATTTATTTTTATAGAAATATTAAAAAAAAAAATAAAAAACAGGGAAAATAATATTGTAATAAGAATTTAATCAACAAAAAAAAGAAAGATTTTAAATATAAAAAATATAAGAGAAGAAAGAAAACAAAATAATCAAAGTTGATAATTCCATCATTATTTTAATCATAATATATTTAAAAATTATCATCATCATCGTTACTAATGTTATTCACAATATTCACATTCACAACATAATCTTATGGAGCAGTGTCGTCAACATTATTATCATTTTAACCTTCTTTTGTGTTTTTGTTGTTTTTGTTTTTGCTCTCTTTCTGTGCATTAGTGAGTGAGTGGTGAGTGTTCTTCCATCCATATACTTAACCATATTGGTTTTCACATCCATAATTATTATATATATATGTATATACTTGCACCACTACAATATGTTATATACAGAGTTTATCAAAAAGTTATTTTTTGTTTTTGTTTTAATGTTATAACTAATTATACATACATATTTTGAAGACAATTGAGAGTAAAAAGCAAATAACTCCACATTTGAATAATACTCAAGTTGATTTTATTTTTGTTAATTAAGAATTTTAAAATATTACTTATAATTTTAAGTTTGGTATGATTTTCGAAAAATCAGAAACTATAAATGTGGCTTATTTTATTTTAAGCCGATTTCATATTGAAAAGTTCTCAATTATTACAAATAATACAATATATATGTATGTATGCAGGTGGTACTTTTAAAAATCTAATTGAAAATGATATGTGAAAGTAAAGTGTAAATTAATGAATTTTTTGCTTATAATAATAATTAGGATAGGTCGAAAACAGAATTAATAAAACGTGTAAATTATTAATATATGTATAACAGTTATAATCATGAAATGGTAAACTCTACAAAATACGATCGTAATTATGTATATGATTTTAAAAATCTAATTCAAATAAAAATCGTAATTATGTCATTCAAATCTAATTCAAAATTATAAAATTTTAAACTCAAAAACAAGATTTTCAGTTTCAATACAGTTTGTTTGTTTTTTTTGTTTATTTGTTTTGTGTCGTCTCTCTTGTGAAAAATATAGTTGTTATTGGATTTTTATCTCACTATTTTTTATCTTGGATTTTTTTCTAACGCATCTCTTTATGTTTACATAATATGTATAAAATGTATTTGCGTGTTTGTGTAAATCACGGCTGACAGAAATATAGGCCTGGACCCAAAGAGAGATTGACAGTTTCCAGCTGACGAATTTACACGGATTCTTATGAAAGCTTTAGAGGTCCCTTTTTATCATATTCTCCCACAAGATCAACAATTTTCAAAGTTTTATTTAAAAAAGTTCAATTTTTTTCTACTTTTCTAGTGCTTATATTCTTAAAGTTTTGTGTTATTAAAACATTAAAAAATTTATATAAAAAAACCTCTCAGGTTTTGTTACTTTTTAAGATTTCAATAAATGCTACACTACAAGAACTTTTTCGAAGTATTAAGATGATTTTTGTGTATTCTTTCAAATTTGAGAAAATGTACATTTGATATTACCAATTTGCTAATTAGGTATGATATGACTCCCACAATGCATACTTATATAATCTCATATATATGTATTTTTCATGTGTAAACCATATTAATTAAATTTATATGCTTCATAATTCATAAAAATTATTGCATATGTGTATTCTGTTTATATTAAAAGTTCATATTTAGGATAATTCTTTTCAGGTATACATATATGTGATTTTAGTTATATTTGAAAATATTTTCTCATTGTTAGTAAGTCTAATTCACAGATTTACCTAAACTAACGCATCAGGAATTTTAAAACTTACACAAGTTTCTTTATAATCACCCTTATTTTAAATCTCACTCGTAGAATTTTAAGAATTTCAAACTAAGTTACGTACGTAGACTTTTGAGTAATTAAAAATTTCATTCGTGGGTTTATGAATCTGCAATGGCAACATTATATTTCGGAGTGTCAGAATCGATATTTTATTAAAGCTGTCAGGTGCCAAAATTTAACTTTTTCAAGTTTCACAGCAGATATTTAAATCTATTTCGTAATTCCTAGGAATTTCAGTGTTGCTAGTGAGATTTGCAATATGGGCGAATATTTTTATTATGTTTGCTTTTATATAGGGGACAACTTGAAATGATGCATTTTTATAATGACTATAAAATTATAAAAGCACTGTCATAGTTATGAACTTAAAATTAATTAATTACAAACTTAAATTTTAAATTAAAATCTAATAAGATTTTTATTAACTTTATTTTAAGTCGTATATTCTAGACTAAAATACGTTTTTTTTTATTCAGTGTATTGTCAATTTTTACTTTCAATTCTCTCAGATACATATGTATGTTGCCTGACATGGCAGTACAAAAAATGCGGAAAAAACTCGAAAATATATTTAATCAAAATTATAGATAAAATTTTGTTGAAAAGAGTTGAAATTTGGATTTTTGATATGTTGCTAAGAAAACTCCAAGTTTCATGTTAGTATAAGAATTTTTAGGTTTTAGTCAACTTTTCGTATAGAAAACTCGAAATGAAAATAGATAAAAATCATAATTTTTCCAAAAAAACAACAAAAAAAAGATAATTCTTCAGAAATGTCGTTTCGCCAAAAAAAAATGTGCAATTTTAACAAATATATTCACAAAAAAAAAACAGTGTCCAGGCCTTGATTTTTTGTAATGTCAAGGTGTAAACACATATTTAACGTAATAGTAGCATTTGCATATTACTTATAATATTTTATTTGTGTAGATATATACATATATATTTGCATTTATTCATGTGTATACAAAATATAAATATTGGGAAATAAATTTTTTGTTTTGTGAAATAAGGATTTTTTCATAATTTCTCCAAAAAATTTCATTTCTCAAAATTCTAATTAAAATAAAAAAAAATTAATAATGAAAGAAAAATTAATAATGGAGAAAATAAAAATATACGAAAGAGAACAACAACAGCAGTAGCAGCACTAATGGTGTTTTAAAAATCAAAACAAATAAGTTTTTTTTTTATTTTATTTGTGTTGAGAGGTGAATTTTTTTAATAAAAAAATAAAGGTGAAATTTTTTTTTTTTTTTAATTTAATAAAGCTTGTTGTTTGTATTTTTTTAATCAATATTATTATTTTGTGTCAAAAATATGAGAAATTAATAACAATAATAATAATAACAATAGCAATAATATTTAATTTATTTAACAAATAAAAGAGAGCGTGCTGTTGTGTGTTGAGTTTAAAAAAAAAACAAAAAAGGAAAAAAATAAGGAAGAAAATTTTAAAAATTTTAACAAAAATAAGTGCGAGCGTGTATTTTTTTTATATATAAATATGATTATGCATGCATGTATGTTTACCCTAGAATAATTATTTTTTTATTACAAATTTATATAGCTGTATTTTGTATAAAAAAAAAACATTTAATTATGTACATGCACATATACATGTAACTGTATTCAGATAAAGCCACCTAAATTTTATGTGTTTGAGAAAAATCACCCTCCTTAATTTTAATTACAGTATAAAATTTTTATAAGAATACTAAGAATTTTAACCAAAAATAAAATTTTATAAAAATACGAAATAATAATATGCATGCATATTCATTCATGTGTATGTGTGTAAGTACATAAATGCAAAATTATAGTATAAAAATGGTAATTTAAATAATAATTATAAATAACATAATAAATAACAATAACTAACATTAATAATAATAAAAATAATATTATTATATATAACAGTAATAATAATAATAATAAATTATATCAAACATAAAAATATTTACAATATGTACATATATGTATGTAAGTACGTCTTTTATTTTATTTAGAGAGGACAGTGGACAGGCCAGAGCGAGAGTATTATAAGTACATATGTATATAAAAATTGTAGCATACCTACCTACCTACAATGTGGGTCAATATTTTTTACTTATGTAGATATTAATTATATATTATTTACCTAATATTCTTATTAAGAGTGTACATATGTATACATATTTGGAAAACATGCATATACATACATATGTATATTTTATAATTATAGGGTTGCCAAAAATGAACATTCAAAATTAGCCCGATTAAAAATGATCTAAAAATTTCGCATAGGTATAACTGATTTTTATATAATTATATAAAACTAATACTGCACTCCATGCACACTTGAAAGTTCTTGAACTTTTTAATAAAATTTAAGTAAACATCAACATGTTTTTAACATTTTGAAAGATGGAATTGAATAGTGTAGTGTGGGGGTGGGGGGGTTGGGTCATACCATAAATTAATATTAAAATAAATTTATTATAACATTAGCAAAAACAATTAGAAAAATTATTTTATAAACAAAATTTGAAAAGATTTTATATAAACAAGTAATTTTACTGTTGTGAAATGTGAGTCAGTCAATTATGTTAAAAAATATTTAAGTTTTAAAAATAGAAAACGTTAGATTATGTGTCCGATTACCCTAAAAATTTATAAATTTTTTCAAAAAGATTCCTAAAAATTAATTTTTAAATTAATTTTACTCCAATTGTTATACCCCATCTGTACAATGTAAAAATTTATTTGTAAACCCGTGGGCAGCATATAAGGATCTATTTTGCTTTCCGATAAGTGTGGCCCCTCAAAAATAAGAATTATCCGAGGGTTTACTCGGTTAATATCTACCTAAGCTTGGCGACCATGATATTTATAATTTTTATATGTTCTTAAAAATAATTTTTTAAAATGCATATAAGATAATATTTTTTTTTAACTTTCATAATATTCTGACAATTTACATATAAAAATGTATTATATAATATTGTATTTAAAATAAAATTGATTTAATTAAGTAATAATACATACATAAGTACTTACTTGCATAATATACGAGTATATACATATACGTAAATTAATTTGATAATTTGAATTAATTTAAAGTTTTAGAGTTCTTAAAATATTCGCCATATATTTCTTAGAGAATAGAGGAATGGAGAAATTTATAATATCAATATTAAAAATATACTTACTTATATAAGAAAACTATGAAAAACGATAATAAATTTTATACATATGAATTATAAAATATTATAAGTATATACTTATATGTTCATATGTTGTTAATATACTTAATAATTTACCGGGCGTTTTATAGTTTTGTATTGTAGTAAAAATAAAATAAGTAATATGAAAAGAAATTATATACATAAATATGGGTCTTAAAATTTATCTACATCCATATATGCATATTTATAGGTGGCTGTCAATTTTACTTGAAAATTTTTCGTGACTTCAAAAGTGTATTTATATTACTATTATTCCATAATATATTTTAGAACAATTAGAACTTAGTAAGTTGTTGAGTTGCGTATATACAAATTGCCTCGTGCACTGCTATATAGCAATGTATAGACCCTCATGAGTATACAAAATTTTGTAGGGAGACAATGTTCATGGCTCAACAGTTTGAAATTATAGGGACTTAAGTTACTCTTAACTGATTTTTTTTTACTTTTTGAAATTTCAAGGATAATTCCGTATCCGACATGCGCATTATTAAATATAATTTAGAAACATCAGAAAAGGGCTGATGAATATATACATTAGTTATAACATGATCATGTTTTCGGAATGAAATGACTCTAAAGTTCGAAAAATTTTAAATTTTAACTTTTCATTCAAAAAAAAAAACTTTAATTCTTTAGGTGACATTACATTGCATTTATCTCTAATTTTAGCACAGTTGACAACCTTTTTAGTTAGATCTTTCATTTGGTATATCAAATCATCCTCTCCCTACCTATTCTGATTTAGGAGTTATTTAGAAAAATTAAGCAAATGTTTTTTTATACCAAGTTTTTTTCTTCAATGATTTCAAAAAATGTGCAGCAACTGCTCAAAATGGTTTCTTTTTGCAATTATACAAATATATAATAGCTCAATAAATTTTACTTAACAACCTTAAGTTTCCCTTACATTTGCAAACAAATTAATGGCCTGAAGAATATCATACAACGTCTTTCATTTACACTACAGGGCTGTAACCAGTTTAATTTCAACAATCTTTTTTAAATAATTTTTTTCCAACTGGTGCTTGATAAAAGATATTCAAAATAAATTTTATATTTACAATTATACATACAACAATTTAAATACTATTTACATATATTGCACTTTACATATATAAGTAAGTGTACATTATTTTTCAATTTATGAAGCATCATATATTTACAACAAAAATACAACAAAAAATATAAAAACTTCTAATACGAATATCACTGTCATGTTTTTTGATTATTTCATTAACTTATAACAAAAAAAATATTATAGAATATAGCATAACAATATCAAAGATTCTGTACCAATAGTAACGAGTATACTGTTGACCTATATGAGTAACCTAATGGTATTTCGAATCTTAGAAGTAACGCATAGCAAAATAACGAGTACTTAGTTAATATTAGTTAATATTACTAGTATCTCATATGAGTATAGCATAAAATTCGATTTACTGTTAACAGATTTGATTTTCTTATTTTCTGTGATACTGGATCATTTGAAAAACATATTAATTTCACTGTATGTTTTCTCATACATCGAGAAAAATTTTTATATAAATATAAATAAATTAATATAATAAAATTAAAATTTTTTTATATTTGACTAATTAGGATTATTTTTCTTTTAATTTCATATATAATGTTATATTCAAAAAAAAAAAAGTAAAAAACTACATGAAAATGACAGCAAAATGTAATATAGCAATAATTATCATTAATAAACATTTTGTAATATTGAAAAAACCATAATACAAAAGCAAAAACAAAAGTGGAACAATCTGTGAAAAAATATTCAAAAAACACATACAACATAGGTTCAGGCACAACACCTGAACAAGAAAACAAAAAGGGCATTGCTAATGAAAGCAATTTTATATTTAGCGCGATTTTAGACAAAGCAAGCTAAATAAAAAGTTAAAAAATTAAAAGATTGTTTTAAAATTAAAATTAAATTTTAAATATATACTTATATTAATATATTCTACAAGGAAATTATGTAATAGTCAACAACTCAATAATGTTAAGAACAAAAACTAAAATTAAAGCACAAAAAACATTTGAAACTCAATAATTGTGAATTGATATATATATATATATATATATATATATATATAAATAAATATATATATATATATATTTATATATATATATATATATATATGATAAATGTGTGTATTAATTCAAATGTAAATTAGTCAAAAAAGGAAAAACAAACTTACTATTATTAAAAATTTATAACAAAACACATACAAGGCAAAACAAAACTTTTGAACACTTAAAATTCAAAAACTAATCACTACAAAAAAACACGAAATATATAATATTAATATGAAAATTTTTAAAAATTATGTACAAAAATAAAAATAAAAAAAAAAACAAAATAAAGATGTGATTTTTAATTTAAAGTTATTAAAAATTAAAAAAAAAAGTTAAATAAAATTCCAAATATAGTTACCGAAATTTCTATGTCTAGTAGATTTCAAATGAAATTAAGTTACAAAATTTAATTTAATTTAATTTTAATGAAAAAAGTCATAAATTATAATAAAATAAAAAATCATTTAAAAAAAAAAAAACAAAAATTATAATTTAATAATTTAGATAAAGTATTTAAATATTATAAATTTAAAAAATAAGAAATTAGATAATAATAACATAGAAAATATGTATGGTAAATCGAAAAATTCAACAGTTCCCTCGGACGCACAGGCCAGAGAAAAGTAAGTTCTCGTTTCTTTTCAAATAAATTACTTATATTTCAATAATTAATTAAAACACTTATTAAATAAATAAATAAATAATATTATTATAAACAGTATTATATTAGTCGTTTAGCAATATTAATTAGGAATGATAAGCTTCTATAAGACTAGAGGGAATTTTAATTTATTTATTACAGCGTTCTTTATCTTTTTATTTATTTATATACTCGTACTATATAAATGTAAAATAAGGCGCCAGTTATCAGTATTTGTTTAGCTAACTGACATCTAACAGAGAAGTAAATTCGGTTAACTGGCTAAAAGCTACTATAAGTGCCTAACTATAGAGAAAGCGCGCGTTAGCAAAATTTATTAAATTTTTTTTGTTAGGCGACAGTTAATTGACGCTTAACTAAAAGGATTTATTCAGCCAACTGGCATAATTCTAATTTAATCGTCTAACTGGCATCTTTCAGAAAAATAAATCCTGCTAACTGAAGCCTTGCTTTTTAGATAGATACCGCACATTGGGAAGAATAGCGACACAACTCAATAATATAATTTTGATTTCCAGAATTCAAAGGATTTATAGCCGAGTGTAAATTACTATCGAAGGCTAACGTTAGTATAGAGCTATTCTAGAAGTATATGAACAAATTTCAAGTATTATTCTGTTACAGAAAAGCTTTATATATACGAGTATAATAGTAATAAAATGAAGTTTGTGATTTTGCATTTTGACTTATGTCATATTCTGGTAAATGTGCGATACATTGTCCACATTTTTTAAACAATTAAATTTTAACTTTTTTTTTGATAAATTATATATATATATGTATAATATCTGGAGATGAGAAGGTCATGCACTTAAAAATACAAATATGCACTTAAAAATGAAGAAATGAGCACTTAATATGCAGTAAAATATCATGAAAAATATGCATTTTTATGCACGGTAAATTATGCATATTAAAAAATACAAATCACGGTAAAATATGCACCTTTTAACATACCAAATATTTAGGAAAAATTAAAAAATTACTTAAAAATATTAATATTTTTGATCCTATTGGTCAGTATATTTCAAAATAAAAACTAAACAAAAATAGTAAAATGATAAAACTATAACAAAATAAATAAAAACATATGTAAGTATGTTAACAAAATATTAAAAAAATATTAACAAATATTAGATAATTAGACAATTGATTATAAATGTCAAACTTAAACAGTGTCACCGTTTCGTTTATTCTAAATAAAGTTGAAAAGCAAATCGTTATGAAAACAAACACGATTTTTAATAGAAACTATACGAAAATTAAAACAAAATTCTTTAATTTGTTGTAAATTTTATTGAAATATGCAAAATATGTATTTATTGAATAATTTGCTTGAAATATGCAAAAAATTTGCAAAAATATTCATTTGCGTGGACTTCTCGTCTCTAATAATTTGATCTATGATATTGTACTATGCGAGTATATATACAATAATTTTGTTTTAATTTTCGTATATAATATGATATGATGATCATATGATTTCTACAAATCACCATCAAAGTTGACATTGACATAACATGACTCTAATCATTTGACTTTCGTAATTAATCACACTTGCAATAAGTCATTTGATAATTTTAAATTAAAATGTGATTCAGATATGTAGTCGTTGTGCGGTCCAAAAAAATACCTTTACAAAAATAACGTAAATTAGTATTTTTATATATCTATAAAGGAAGAATCAACACTTACTTAGTTGCATTTGCATTAGAATCGCTATTTTCACTTAAATTTCGATCCTCTTCCACTTCGCTCATTTTTGCAATAACTTTTTTAAAGATGCATCAAAAGGACATTAATGCTACTTCTGTCAGCGCTATTCTAAAGCAGAAAATTTCAAAACTGCAGGAATTTCCTCTATTTTTAAAAACAGTTGACAGCACTGCATAAATGACAATAAATTTTTAAACGTAAATAATACCTTTAAAATTTATTTAGTTTAAATTTTCGCTAAAAGGAACTCATCTTATGTCAGTTTCTGATTGTTGGCAGCATTAACTTTCATGCTGACAATATGAGAGTGGATCTTTATGCGAAAATGATCCACTTTTTGCAGTATTATCTTCATCATTCCAGATATTACTTATATCTGAAATGATCGTTTGATCTTAGTTGGCAGATCTTACTAAGATCATTTTCAGATTTAAGTAAGATCTGCCAACATGAACTCAAACTATGTATGCCTTTGTTACAAGAGAGAAGAGAAAGTGAGAAATAGAGATTCCTTTCAAAAGTATTTCAAGTGTCAGACTACAACTTAGTTAAACCTAACGGTCCTCTTATTAGTTTTTGCTTCTGTTCAATTTCAGTACTATCTATATAGTTTCCATCATAACAACTTTTGAATTATTTATGACAATTCATGAATACTGTAAAAATTTTAAATTTCATTATTAAGCTATTAAAAAACTTCAACAATTTTATCCTTTTACCAATGTTATCGCAATTCATTCATGCTCCAATATTATCGGAAAATTTTCACAATATCTGTATGCTTAAATTATAATAATGGGGTGAACATCCCTGGACACAAGAATCTCAATGCTTTTACGAACAAGAGAAAAATTAGTGTTAGTAATCGTCTTGCCATTTTCCATTTAGCTCAAGCATAGATCGCTCGATGCTCGCTTCAATCTCAAGGTTTAGTGTTTTAATTTCCACAACAATTTACAATATCTTCTCAATATAGACCAATGATATTCTACTTTATGCATTTCCCTCACCACTAAATCGTGTTTTCAAGAAAATGCCTGGCCTGTATAATTACCCGTCCTACGATGCCGAACGTAAACGAAAACAACTGTCGAACTGAACTGATTATATTACTGACTACTGCTCTTAAAAAGATTTGAAGCCATCTTACTGAGAAATGAGCTAGAACTAATTAGACCGTTAATAACGTGAAAGTTTCTGATTCCAACATCCTTATTTTGACTTTATGAAAATACTGATAGAGGTAGCATTTACTCTGATTTCATCCATGTTTTATAAAACAAATATATGAAAAATAAATTTCCAACGATTTTCATTGGATTATATTGCTAATTATTACTAAGTATATTTTTAATTATTTTTCTTTCTCAGACTTGCGCTGTATGTATATGAATATTTATTACATGTTGGAGCTCAAAAAGCAGCACAGACATTTTTGTCAGAGGTAAGTTTTTTTCAAATAAGTATATGTTAAATTTATGTAATTATTCTTTACTTTGTAATTTATATTTATTTTATTATAATAATAAAATAGTGCGTGAATTCCTTATTATAAAATATGGAACTCTAAACCGTATTTAAAAAAAACCATTTCTTATATAAGAACAATATATCTTTACTTAAAATCGGAAAATTCTTGAATCTTAGATGTTTAGAGTCACAAAATTTTAATGTTTATTTTTTAAAATCAAAATTATGAATCTTTCTTTTTTTTCAGATTCGATGGGAAAAAAATATTACATTGGGTGAGCCGCCTGGATTTCTGCACACATGGTGGTGGTAAGAAAATTGCTACTTTCCTTTTTTATATCTTATTTTTTAATTACTCCAATTTTTGTGCTTTTTCTTTGCTTTAATTGCAGTGTTTTTTGGGATCTATATTGTGCAGCGCCAGAAAGACGTGACCAGTGCGACCATTCATCAGAAGCCAAAGCTTTTCATGATTATGTAGGATTTTATATTATAAAATTTATAGATTACTAATAGTTTTCCGTCTGTCTAATCGTTCCAGCGGTAACCAATAACTAATTAAGTTAAATTCATGAAATTTTCAAAAAATAGTTGTACTATAATAAATGTCAGAATGTTATTTATATTCCTGGACAAAAGCGTTCATTTTCTCTCTATGAATCAGCTATGTTCTTTCGAGCAATTTGTAAGTAGTTCAAAAGGAAAGGTTTTTTACAGCGACTTTTCTTTTTATCGACCGTATTGTATACAATGAGGCAGGTTATGTAATAGCTCTAAATTTTGGATGCCGAGTTTTGGCGGGAACGCACTTCCATGGTAGGGAAGCGTATATAAATTACTTTTAGAGAGATGTCGGCCTGTCGGTCTGTGTGTGTAATCGTGAATGTCAAGTTCGGTCGAACTGATTTTGATGAAATTTTATATGTGAGTTTATTTTGGTTGGATTGATCAACTTTTGGGATATATCAGACCTGGGGAACTGGGCCTTTTTGCCGGCCAATTTTACATTTTTGCGTATATAAAGAGAAATAATTAACCAATTTCTATGAAACTTAATGTTTAAATTCGGAGTATTACAACAATGAATATATAAATTTTTTGGAAAGACCAGGGCTCTGAAACCGAACTGGGGGCCGATTTTATATTTTTTACCATATTTATGGAACGGATTGATGGAATTTCTTGAAATTTGGTATTTGATTACTGGTTGTTACCGAAACTAACTGATGAACTCTTTAAGAAATTTAGGTGGCGCAAAGCGTAATTATAGTAAGAACCAAATTTACATTTTTCTAGGTATGCTCACTAAAAGCTTACTAGTGTCTTTAAAATTATAAAGAAGTGTTAATAACGCATTTTTATAATCTTCTGTAACACTTTCATTAAACTAGGGATTAATGAAAGTGATTACATTGCGGTCGGTTATACGCTTATCACATCAGATTTTTTTATTTTTCGAAGTATGTTAATTTTTTATTTTTTGGTTAATCGTATCAAATATTTTGATTCTATAATTTATGTGATAATGAAAAAGTGAGTGAACAACGGATTTCTCATAATTCTTTCAAGATAAATTTCGTTATCCTTTTGAATATTAAAGTTAACACTCAGGGCTACTTTTTAGCACTTTTCTAAAAAAATTTTTGAAAAACGGTGCTTACTAGTTTCACTCTGTCCGTCCATCCGTTGATATGTTTACAAAACTTCTACATCTTTGAAATTTCATATGTACAAATCTTTACTAGATATTTATTTCCGAAGAAAATTTTTACTTATCTCCCCCTTCTAAAAGTTATAGCCCCTCAAAGTCTTAAAAATGCCATTTTTTATCTAATGATTGTAGCAAAACCAGAAACGTTTTTAAATCCAGCAGACGCCAAAAAGTAGCGACTGGCTTCTTCTACCGCGGCATATCATATTGGAACTTTTAAAAAAAAAGTTCGTTAAAATTTACCGTTATCTAAAATCCTATTTTTTCCAAATTTTTGATATCGTTCTTGTTTTGGACCTCAGGTTGTAGGAGTCTGAAATTTTAGTAGTTCTTAGATATTTATAGATAGTTCATTTCGTTAGAAGAAAATTTTTTCAACCTTCATTCTGTCTCAAGTTATCGACTTACGAAATTTGTTAAATTTGAATTTTCGGCGCCTTATATTTCCGAAACTGCAAGCTTTACTAATTTCTATAAATGCAGAAAGCTAACGGTAAATGCCATGCCATTAAAAATATAATTATATTTCTTATTATAGGAAAATTAATCCTCGAATTCGAGCGTTTTTGTTTTATTTAAAAGATTGCATGTATTACTCATGCTAAATGTATGCAATCTTTGAAATATATTTAAATATGAATGAAACTAATTTTAATAATGTAGTACACATTGTTTTTAAAAGCAGTATTTTCACTTGTTGAAAGGAAAAGCGCTGCATTGCAAACCATCGGTTTAACCCAGCTTCATTTTTAAATTGATTTGCATGTGCAAACGTTTTATTCCGAACAAGAATTAATCCGCAAAAACGTTCCAAAATTTTGCACGACTGACATCAGATGACATGATCAACTCTCCACCTATTCCATATTTTTTATATTTTCAAGTCTATTACTTTATCGTACACTTTTTTCTGTCTTTTATATAATTTTAGGGTTTTGTTAGTTCAGGTCATAATTTCAATGGCATTGGAGCACATGTAAGTTAAAATTTTTTCATTATTTTTTTCTTTTTGTACTTTTATAATTTTTTAGTTTGTTTTATATATACTATTATATATATTTTTATATATACATAAAAAATTTGTACAAAAATTGTATTAAATATATAAAAAAGGAAGTGCGGGTAATGTCGTATACCCTTTTCATTTTTATTATTTTCTCGGCAATCACAGCATATTTCTAGTTCGGATAAATTCATTTAGAATCGTTAATCGTTAAAATGCTTTTTAAAACTGTACTGGAAAGATTCTCAAACTTATAAACATAAGACCAGTATTAAAATAAATACAGGAAAAATCCCAAATTTCCTATTTGAAAATTTGTCGGGTATTGTGGTATACTTTCTCGGGTAATGTAGTACGCTATAACAAATTGTCCGAACTAATTTAATTATCCGAAAATATAATAACTTTGTTTCTGACGTGCTAAATTATTAAGTTCTATGTTTCTGGTATGACTGTAGTGTGCATCTAATATTAACAAAATGAGGTTATTCTGTGTCGGTCTTGCAAATTCCAAAAAATGCTTAAACTACTCTGTAAAAGTTGGTGTTTTCACTCATCCAGATCTATGATATGCTGCCTTTGAATCTACTGGAGCGTTATTCATGAATAATGGATTTGCATTTTTTCTTGGAAAAATAAAATATGGAGGTAAAAATTTTTCTCCTGCACTCATATAACTTATGACAGTCAAAAGAGTACCCGCAATACTGGACTAGCTGGTCTTCAATGCTTATGTCAAAAACTGGTTTTCTACATAGACGATGGGCAAATATTTCATTTATTATTTTTGAACTCCGTGCGCAAATTTGCAAAGTAATATGAGGCACGCCATATGTTTTTGAAGCCAATAAAATACCTATTTCTCCATTACGAACTGCTGCTATTGTTTTTTGCATAGAAATGTGGTAAAAAGCTTTTACTTTCATTCCCTTTTTAGGCATTGCCAGGTTAACATAAAGGTTAAAATTAAAACAACATAGATATGTGCTGCTAATACAGTATAGTATACCAAAATACTCTTATTAAGGTATACCACATTACCCGACAGGGTACAATTTTCAAATTTAAAAAAAAAAAAAAATATAAAAATGTAAATGAATTTAATTTGCAAAAAAAGTCAACATAACAAACAAACAAAAGTCAACATACAAAAAAATTATGCTACTTCCAAATTAGAATGAAATTGAACATGATTAGACAAGATTTACTTTATTCAATTGTTAAGCTGTAAATTCTGTTTAAACAGATAATTGTTATATGTTCAGTATAAGAAATAAATTGGTATTCCACATTACCCGCACTTACTCTAAATACAATAAAAGAAACAAAATAAAAAAGCAAATAAAATATGTAACAAAAAAAATTAGAACGCCGGCCCAGCACCAAGCCCCCTTGGACAATTACCACCAAATGAAGGAATGCCAGGCGGTCCAATGGCACCAAATTTCTTTCCAGTAAGTCAAAAAATAGTAAAAATAGAAAAATACAAATAAATTTTCTTTTAATATAAGGATATGTATATATATATATATAAAATGTGTATATGTGTATACATATATTTTAATGTGTATAATAATGTATTCGTATGTGTGTTATATTATATTTTCATTTACTGTATACATATAAGTATATATAGTTATGTTTGTTTTTTAAAGCAAACATAAATTGTATTTTTTAAAAGTGTCCTTTGTTTTATAATACAAAAACATGTGATATACATTGATATATATATATATATAATATTATATAATTATATATATATATATATATATATATATATATATATATATATAATTATATATATATATATATATTTATATATATATATATATATATATGTATATATGTATATTGTGTATACAAAATTTTTATTAAATACAATTAGTGCATGTACAATATGGTCTATGCGTGAGTGGTTTTTGGAATAGTGAGTAGTTCTAAATAAGAGAAAACGTTACTTGTACAGGATGTTTCGCACAAGATGCAAATAATTTCAAAGATTTGATCAATTTTCAGTAAAAAATTTTTTGAGTTGGAGGGGGGGAGGTTGGAGATTTTTATTAAAATTATCGGTTTCACAATCAATTTGATTTGAGTTAGAGTTTACTAAATGTAAATGATGTACTATGGTTCCAATCAAATTGATTTAAAAACCGAAAAAAATGAGCAATAAACCAATCCACGGCGGTTACTCTATGTTGCATGGTTCCAAAGTTATAAGCATATTCATACGCTGAAAAAATCTAGTACCATTTTTTGAATAGACTGTAGCTCAAACACGAGTATATTTTCACCTCCCTCCCTGTACAAGTTTTTGATGGAAATTGATCCAAGAATCATCCCTGAAATTATTTGGCACCTTATGCGAACAACCTGTCTAGTTATAAGTTTTGTAAAACATTTAGTAATTTACGTACATACATATTTATATAGGTAGATAAATACTAATTTTATAATATATACGTTAAGTGCACATATATATGTATATATATATTATTATTTATCTTCTGTATTAAAATTTATATTCTGATATTGAAATTTATAGTATATATTTGGAAACATATATCGAAATGTGATATTGTGAAATTTAATCATAATTTTGCTGTGCGAAAATTATAAATCTTCCACAACCAAAAAATCTGATGTGGTCAGTATATAACCGATTGCAATATATATTGCCTAGATTAGTAAAAGAATTCCAGAAGATTATGAAAATGCGTTTTAAACACTTTTTTACAATTTTAACGACACTAACAAGCGTTTAGTTAACATACCTAGAAAAATGTGAGTTTGGCTCTTAGTAAAATTTTATTTTGTGCCGTCCTTATAATACAAAAAGTTTGCCAGTAACCCAGATAAGTTTTCGAGCCTTGATCTTTCCAAAAAATCTATAGATTCGTTGCTGTAACACCACAAATTTAAATATTAAATTTCAATGAAATCGGTTGATTATTTCTCTTTATTTGCGCAAAACGATTTCTTCCAAAAGTTAGGAGGTTTCTTGTACGGTTGAGGGAAACTTATATATGAAATTTCAAGTAAATCTGTTGAATATTTTCTTCTAAATGATCAAAAATGTAAAACAGACCCGTTAAAAGGTCCAATTCCCGATGTCTGATTTATTCCAAAAGTTGATCAATCCGTGACATAGTCGAAATAAACTTACATACTTATGACATTTGATCAAACTCGGTTCACCCGAACTTACAGACCGACACATTGCTCACCGACAGACCGACACATTGCTAAAAATAGTTTATTTACACTTCCCTTCCATGGAGAAGCGCATTCCCACCTAAAACTCGATATGTAAAATTTGTTGCCATAACCTTCCATAACCTCCCTTATTGCATGCAATTCGGTTATTGAAAAATGTGATCATTTTAATTTCTAAAAAAAAATATGACAGTATACTTGGTTGTATATAGAATATACACTTATGTGGAAAAGTCAACATACGAATTCTATTTTATATTTCAAAACCATACTTTTGTATGAATTTTTTTTATAATGAATTTTTGTACGAATTTTTTTTATATTGTTTCAAATTTATCAGGCTTTATTTATGAACACAAAAAATTAAGAAGTCTTAAAAATGAAAACAAAAGAATTCAGTTCATTTGAGTGTATCACAAGTTCAAGTGGTGCAAAAGTTAACATACGGTATTAAAATAATATAATAAATAACATTAAATATAATTAGCCTAATATGATGTACAGCTTCCTTTGTTTGGAATAACTTCCCTCAATCTATTTCGCATTGATTTGTCCAATTTTTGGAGTGTTGTCATATAAATTTTATTCCATTCCTGTTGGATAGGTGTTTCTTAAAATTTCTTCATTTTTTTCATTGTTTTTCTGGACTTTTCGCTTGATTTCATCCCACAAACGCTCAATAGGATGATTAGGTCAGATGATTGGGGTGGATTTTTGAGCTACTTAGAACGAGTATAAAGTAGCCACTCACGGACAATGAGAGAGGTATGTTTTGGATCATTATCCTGTTGAAATCAAAATTTGTCCTCAAGTTTTAATAATTTTGCACTGTCCATTAAACTGTTTTTCAAAATATTTAAATACCCTATTCATTGTAGTATAGATAAATTGTAATCTGCCAACGCTAGAAGCTGCAAAATATGCCTAAACCATCACGTTTCCACCCGCGTGTTTAACTGTTCTAATAAAAAAAAAATTCTTCAATGGTTGATAATTTTTTCCGAAATATACATTTTTTTCAGGTGTATGAAATGAAAACTTCCTTTTATTTGGAATAACATATTTTTTACTTTTGCTAATACCTTTTGTGCGCTATATACGCACTTTATCCACTTACGTGGATTTTCTTCTTATTGAGACAACAACCAATTTAAATTGAAGCCTATTAAAATTAGAAATATTATACCTGAATTAATCTAAAATTAAATTTTTCTTTATGCCTTTTTTTTCATTATTAATTACAAACTAAAATTACCTGTTTTAATCCTTAAAACTGGTCAAATAATTAATTTAAAGAGCCGATTCATGAACGATTTGTGATAACAAATTTTCGGGGTTTACTTTCACTTTCATTAGTATAGCCCGTTTTTCTCTTTCAGAAAACATTTTTGGTTGTATTGAGCGAGGGTTTGAAGCAGTACATCCACTCTTATTATAGTTGCTAATTATAATTTGTATAGTAGATGTACTTTTACTGCAAATTGTGGTTATTTGACCTGAAGATTTGCCTTCATTTCTTAAATCTACAGTAACTTTCCTTAATTCGGTGCATATCTTTTTCCTTTGAGAAATGATTTCGTATTAGTGAGGAACCAAAGTACTTTTCTTTTTGATAAATATACAAAACATTCAATTACTACATTAGAATTAAGAAAGAAAAAAATCGTATGTTAACTTTTGCACATGTGATAATTTTACTTTTCGGCGAATTTCCTCTTTTGTTTCTTGAAAATCAAAGAAAACATCTAACATAAAAGTAATTTTGTTGATGTTTAAAGAAAAAATTCACTACGTGAGTTTTTATTTTGAATTGAGTTAGCAAAAAATCCATGGTTATGATTAAATGCATTAAATTGAAAAAAATATTACTGTACGTTGACTTTTGCACGTAAATGTAGATAATAATTTATTATTATAATTTCTATATTATTTAACGTTAGACAAATGAGTCTGATGTCAAACAGAGTTTACAACTTTCGTCGGACTATCAGATTAAATTGTAAATTTTATCGTATTGTGTAAACAGTAACTTAGATTTAAACACTTGTATATTTATAATAGTTTTATAAATTATTCTAAATTGCCTGTTGATCAATATATTTATATAAGATCTCTACGTTAAAAAAAAATTTATTAAAATAATATAAATTTTAAATTAATAATAATATTTTAAAATATAAGATTTTACTAATATTTGTTTAAAGATTAATAAAAATATGATATGATTAAAAAGTTGAAAAGATACTCATAGGGCGGCTACCAAAGCTGCAAAATTTTTGCTCAGAATATGCAATCTACAATCTGTTAAACATTTTGGTAAACATAAATATAATGTAGACTGGCAATTCTACTTTAGTCAGCTGTGTACCTTTAAATCAAAAATTGGAATACATAAACTAGTATCATTGACATTTGAAAAAATTAGAAAAGGTATTTTAAACAGAACGTTTTTTCAAGTAAACTAAAAATGGTAATATACCTACTTGTTTTGATAAAAAAAAACAGAAGACATAAATGCAAAACAATACAAAACAATTGTAGATAAGTAGTCAGTTGATGGTATCATTAAGCTAAGCCATTCTGGAGAGCAATCCGAAAATTGAAACTCGCAACAATATTCGCGATAATATTAATAATATTCAGAAGAGAAGATGCGAAGTAAAATGCCTTTTGATTAAAAACCGAAAACGACAAAATATACAAAAGGCAAGAAAGTTCTTACAAACTCTAAATGAGTTTACCGACTAGGTTTTGGAAGCTATTTCCGCATGCGTAAAAAACGTTTGATGTTAATCCTACTTCTAATGAAATTTTACTTTTTGTGTATTTTTGCTCACAAGATATAATTTTCAGTGTCTAATGAGAGTTTTAAAATCGATGTGACAAATACAAACTGAAATGAGGATGGGAAACTTATACGCGATATATTAACCGTGTAGTTTTCTTCTTGAGCTTCCTAACTAAAATAATAAAATATTTACTTACTTGAAATAAAATAAAACACTATTCTACTATTATTAAATAAGTACACTTCACTTAATTATTAACAGAGTAACAAAATACAAGAAGCAAAATAAAATAGCACATTTAGAGGCTACTAAAAATTTTGATTTTTAAATTGAAAATTTGAATCGAGTTTCTAATTATCGGACATAATGGACATTATATTTTGAAGCACATCTTTAATTGATTCTAATATAATCAAGACATATAGTCTCCTTTCTTCCAATTTAGTTTT